TCACTGACCATATCGTCAATTATATGGATAACGTTTTTAGCAATCTCCATTTTATTCGGGAAGTCCATAGTGGCACCATACTTGTCTTTAGCTAACCGAATCACTGTTTTACAAATGCTAATTATTTTTGCCATTATTGCTCAATTGCCAAAAGTATTAACAGTTAGTTCCCTATTTATTAAACAATATTATTTCGAAAAGCAAATTAAATATTGCAATTCATATTAACGACCAGCGAGAACGAGTCAGCTGGAAACCGCTCTCAGCCGGCCGAGTGGTGGTGACGAGTTGCATGGGGAAAGTGTGATTTCATGCGTTACAAAAATCATCATATCATGACCAAAAGTGATTTTTACACGAAAATTTTATTAGATTGGGTCACTAGTATTAGATAGTGCATTAAATGTATATAGTGAGAATGCTTAACTCGATAAGCAGTCGGGGACCTTCCCTTGTCAGTAAAGGTAAAGTTCCAACACAATTCCAGAATTTTAGGGCCCAAACCATCAAAATTCCTTCACTTTGTTACTCGGTATTTTTCATGCATTTAGGTTTAAGGGCTTCTCCAGGTTTCCTCCACATCTTCACGGCTGCATTTGACCTACATGTGTTGAATATGATTGTGTCATGCTGATTGACAAGTTTTCAGTCGTTTAGAATACTAATGCTGAGGTCAAGGGTCCATTTAGGACGCTGCGCCATATTTGACTCCTAAATAAATAGCTTCTTGCTCCCAATTCGACCCTTAAAGCCCCTTTCTCGGATCCGGCTTCTGATTTTTTGAGTGGAAACCGTTTTTTGAATTGTTCTTGAGTTTCAGATGAAATTTTCGGGGCCAAAAGTCCTCAGTTGGTCAAGACCTTGCTGATTATATTTCTATGGTAGCCCTTGTTGAATGCCGTTTTGTATCCGCGTCAATAAAAATTGCCCAAGAATCCAGTTTTCTTGCATGTTTGGGCAATGAATTGGATAGTAGGCTCCTAAAACTTCGTCCCCAATGCAGTTTTGTAGTATCATAGTCCTTTCTTATGCAGAAAAATACCAGTCTTTCTTTCGACAGGATTTGGCTATTTTCTGCTCATTTTGCGGGATGTCTATCAGCATCAACGTCAAAAAATTAAAAATCTTTTACACACAAATATTAAAAACTGTATACCAATCGAACCTCAGTTAAGAATTATTGTTTTTGAATGCGTGGAAGAATCGGACGATCAAAAACCAGAAAGGGTACGATTTAATTTTTTGCACGAATTTTCAATTCTCCTCCACGATTTAATTAATGGTGCATTATCGGTAAGGAAAACCAGAAAATGCATTTGAAATTTGGAATCTACATTAAATTTCATACAAAATCGATGTATTGTACAGTAAGAATTGATTTCCATAAAACAGAGAACCACTCATTTATGATATCCCAAAAAAGGGTACGATTTAAATTTTTGCTTACTGTAAATATTTTTCAGTCTACAAACCTATAAGAATAAAAGACATCACCCTGACGACGTTTATTACTTACAAATAAGAGGGATTATCTGAAACTCAAGGTAGGAGTGCGGAAATCAGTTTTAAAGAATACACAAGTTTAGCCACTACTCTTTAACAACGTACTACATAAATATGTAAGTTCTGGAAGGGCTGTGATCATAAAATTTCTGGATTGGGAATTATCTTTCAATAAATTTATTTACATGAAATGTATTTATTGCACATGTTTTAAGCAGCCTTATCTTTGCTTGCGTACCGGTAAAATGTATCCTTCAAACGATTACGGCATCATCTTTTAGAAAGTTCGTCAAACAAAATAACGATTATTTTATTGATAAATATTTATTTTTAAAAAGATCAGCAACGCTCCAAGTCAACACATTTTCCTTTATGATACATAACAATTCGTAGTTGAAGAGAGAGGAATCATTTGATCACAGGAATGAATAGTTCTGAAGATCCGGCGTTGGAAAAGGCCCTCATGAATCCTTTGGTAATTCGTAATTATTTATTTTCCTTAATCACAATTTTCCTACATATTTATTCCCCATTCTACGATGACAAATTAAAAATAATTTGTTACCGGGAGGGGCCAATTTTAATTTTAAAATGCCTTATTATTGTGAAGATTTTGGACAATATACTCTCCCACATGGATTTTACCACTTTGAAAACGGCGCGTTGCGTCTGCACTGCTTGGGACGACATAGCCACACCCATTTTGGGACGGAAGGGCCGCATCACTTTTTCCAAGTTTAAGGGCATGGCCATCTTCAACCCTAAACTAGCAACGAACGTTTCCTTATGCTTAGATTCCAACTGTGATTGCCTGCTCAATTGTAGATGCGGATCCGACCCAATGTCTTCGCCAGCTTTAATCATGCTCGAAGTTTCAAACCATCTGACAGAACTCCATCTCTGGGTTGGAAGTAGATTCAATGCTCGACAGCATGAGGCGCCCACGAGCAGGAGTAACTGGTGGAACTGATTCTCCATTCTGGTTGACAGCTGGGAGGACGAGCTCCATCTTAGAGGGCCAAAATTTCGACCCGTCCCAAATCTGAGGGTTTTGTACTTTAACTTAGGCTGTGGAAGTGGTCAAGATTTTCGATCTGTCGGCCCTAGCGCCATTCTGCAAGGGCTGCTTAATTGTGCTCCTAAAGCAGAAGAATTAATTATAACGATGTTTGAAGGAAGTCCAGATTGGGAATTATCTGGGACAAATGTGAAGATCTTGAGGTTTCGCTATCTGGACCTCTACAAATCCTACCGTTCAGTCCATTATCCTTATTACTTTGAAAGAGTGAATTTCTCAATCTCCACAATACTGGATAGATTTACGAATTCTTTAGAAAAGCTTGAATTGGGATATTCTGACTTTGTAGGATTTAAATCTCCTAAGTGGGTGCGTATGTGAGATATTTGTTACATATTTATTACATTATTTGTAATCATTAACAAATTTTTAATCTAGATTTTGAATTTTTCTGCCCCAAACCTTACCCATCTTACCATCCTTGATGCCGATAAGTATGATCTTGAGAACTTTCTGGACGTCACCCATCTTCCGAAACTGACCAATTTGTCGGTTCGCCATTACCGCATTTCTCAACTGTTTCAAACTTCTCAGCGGTGCCATGAAGAAGTAAAATCGCTTGAGTTGGATATTAGCACCTATTGTTACCAGAAGGATGCACTAGTTGCCTCCGCAATTGCGCATCTCTTCCCTTCCGTGACTGAGTTTAAGGTGAAATTGAAGGTGGAAACTTATACAGAGTTATTTACGACAGATTTAGCGGAAGCGGTTGGATCCTTTCGGGCATGGGAGTTAGCTAAGGGGGAGATCATTGTTAACGGGGTGTCACCGGATGTTGTGGCGGCTGTTTTAGAAGGTGTAACAAGATGGCGAGGTAAAGATTAAAAAAATTAAAGTTAAGGGCAGATTCTAGAAATTGTGCAGTATGTAACAAAAGTATAGCTACGATGACATATTTTTTATCTCGACATTATGCCGTAATATTTCAACTTTGAAACTCCGTACAAAAATGTCAAAAGTGTCTGCCGACAATTTCCTCGTCGCCGATTTTTAATGTCGCAGATAGGTCAAAGGTCAGGATTATTTTTCTAAAAAAATTTGAGGCGTCGAAAAAAAAACTTCGTGGATAATTTTTTTTGAACTTTGCAATATTTTTTACTGGATGCGGCATGCGTTTTGAAGAATAATGAGCTTTGGTCGGACCGTGCACGATTTTTTTGGCGCCCACAGGAATTTTTCGGCCAGGACAGGTTGGAGGTCCAAAATCGCCGCCTTGGCGAAAATTAAAAAAACTGAAATATACGTTTGCATATAGAGGGTCCGGATATGCAAACGTATATTTCAGTTTTTTAATTTTCGCCAAGGCGGCGATTTTAGACCTCCAACCTGTCCTGGGCGAAAAATTCCTGTGGGCGCCAAAAAAATCGTGCACGGTCCGACCAAAGCTCATTATTCTTCAAAACGCATGCCGCATCCAGTAAAAAATATTGCAAAGATCAAAAAAAATTATCCACGAAGTTTTTTTTTCGACGCCTCAAATTTTTTTAGAAAAATAATCCTGACCTTTGACCTATCTGCGACATTAAAAATCGGCGACGAGGAAATTGTCGGCAGATACTTTTGACATTTTTGTACGGAGTTTCAAAGTTGAAATATTACGGCATCATGTCGAGATAAAAAATATGTCATCGTTCCTATACTTTTGTTACATACTGTATACATATATTTTATGATAGGTTTGCAAAATGCGTCACTATGGTTTAAAAGGTCTCCAGAATTCGACGATTTTGAATTAACTGACCGGGTCAGGGATGCCCTCGTGGCGTGCAGGTCGAGTCGACATATTTATATGGCTGGATTATCGGTACGTAGATATATAAGTATCGTTTACACGATATGAATATATAATATGAAGATTTTTAATTTAGATGGATGAAGATACTCGGAACAATTTAAGGGCATTAATTGCCGAATGGAATTTATCAGTTTTTCTTTAGATTACTTTATTTCAATTGCTCTGTGCCACATGGATATTATTATTAGCCTGTACTAAATCAATATTGAAATTTAACCATAAAAGATAACAGAGGCGGTTGGGTAAGAATTTCGTATTAAGAATTAATTACAGGATTTTTTTAGAGTGTGCATTTTGCACAGTGCAAATTAAGTAAAGTATATAATAAATACAAGACATTATTCATTACATGTTGACAATGAAATGGACCCAGCAGAATTTGCACAACATTTTATATACATATTATGTATGAAGGTTATTTACATATTTGTAGTTGATAATGTGGTAAACGTATGCATGTGCAAAAGATTATACATATGTCTGTGCCCGAATTGTGAGTATGGATATGAAAAAATCTTGAAGTGAATATGTACGCCAATGTTTTATATACTTATTTACACGTTAAGCATACAACAAGATAAGCTACCTTACCAATTATGTACGTAAGTGCAAATAGCTATCACATTTGTAAGTTTTATAAATCTTTAGTCTTTATTCACTTTTTAAATCCAGATTACAATTCGTTTGAAAATATTTGTATGGACATCAACCTATCATAAGAAGCAGCATGTCAAACCAGTGCCGCACATTCCATAAGCAGGGGAGCCGGTGGTGCACCATCTTGATCTTGTGCACACCGTTGCTGGAAGGGATATGGTAAAACCTGGAGGGCCAGCTTGGCATTCTGTAAGCATACCTGTTCACATTCGTTCACTAAAGTGAGTTTGAATATTGAATATGTTCGAATTATTCAAAATCTTGAATAATTCGTACATATAGGAATAATTATGCCCCATTCATTTATTGAATGAATATTGAATGAATAAATATGTCCCGGACATTTATTTAATGAATAATGAATGAATGAATAAAATTTTGAACTGAATGAATTGAATAAGGGATGGCTGAATGTAATAAATGAATTGTGAATAAATTTGGCTCTCATTCACTTCACGTTGAAGTGAATGAGCCTGTGATGTCTCATTCATTCTTTATGATTGTGGTCGAAATTCTCATGCTTTATGTGCATCATCATTGCGTGCCGGGAACTTCGGTCGGAGCATGGTGGGAGCCAGTTCAATATTCCAACACATTTTACATTAAAACCCGTGTTCCCAAATTAAAAAAAAATCTTTCGAAAACTTTATACGGAGGGATTTAATTTTACAAGTTAACAATTGCAAACTAGAGTAGTTATGACATCACAAGTTAACCCTGGCGATGACGAAGCTGTCCACACGGATCAAGAAATCGTCGACCTTGAGCATGAATCTGAGGGAGGTTCCAAGGAACCTAAACTCGTAAAACAACCAGGTTTTGAAAAGTTGTCGAAGTTCCGTTTCTTCTTTGAGAAGCAGTTCAGCTACCTTGGACATTCAATTGAGTCCCAGAAGTTCTTTTCAACTTGTAAAATGTGCACTGAAACTGGTAAAAAAAGCCGTGTTTACTCATTTGGTGCGAGCAACTTTAACGTAAACGGAAATCGTCATTATAGAGTACGTATAATAACTTTATATTCCTCCGTGCAATTTATTAAGTAGTAATTAAATTCGTTAATTGTATCGACTATTTTTTGCAGAACTCACACAAAGATGTGTCTTTGGAAATTGAAATCCCACGAGAAAATCATAAGGTGAACGAGTTTTTTCACTCAAATCAAAACAAATATAATAAAAACGACCCAATACAATCAAAATTCAACTCGAATCTGCAAGATTTGGTCTCTGTTGATGGACTCCCTTTCAGTTTTGTTAATTGGCTAGGATTCAGGAACTTAGTATCTGACCTTAATCCACGAGTTATAGTTCCTGACCGAGTGACCTTGGCAAGAAAATTAGCAAACACGGTCAACAAGATTCTATGTAATTTTGACTTACTCAAATACACATAAAACTATAATAAAACCTTTATATATGCAATTTTCCCGCTTGTGCGAATTCCAGGTAAAACCTAAAATTCACTCAACCACGTTCAGGATTACAATGTTCACATATCATCAGACATATGGACAAGTAGACAGGGTGACGGAATTATGGGACTTAAATACCATTATACTCAAAAAGATACGCAGAACCGAACATGGAAATTGGTGTCAAACGTCCTCTCAGCCGTGCAATTTAATGATCGCCACACCGGAGAAAATATAAAGCAAAAATTCCAGCAATCTATGGATTCATTAGGAATTAGCACGACCAAGGTGAATAGTAAGAATAAACATTCAATTTTGTTAATGATAAATAAATAATGCAATACTTTTAAACTCAGATCGGTTATCTGTGTGCTCTTACAGACTGTAAGAGCACACATATTTTCATTTTTATTATTTTGTCTGCCATAACTCCACTCATGAGAATAGTGTCCTTCTTGAAATCAAATGCACCCTAAATTCGATATGAATTAAGCTTTTGTAAATCCAGAGTAACGCTGACAAAGGAAAAAGTTTCCCCGGTATTTATTTACTCCGTTTAAGATAGAATTTAGACCAAATTTACCGCTCAAAATGGCAACATAATTTTTAAGTTTGTGGTTTTGTACACTCAAAATAAACCGTAGTAACGTTAGAAGTAGTACCCTGTAATATATAATTACCTGGCACCTTTGCACTTTGGGTGCAAAATTATAGTAGTTCAACAAAATAGATCAATAATTTTTAAGCAATTATGCACCAGTGGTGCAGAAAAACGAAGCATAAAATAGATCAATAATTATTATGCAATTATGCATCAATGGTGCAGAAAAACGAGGCATAAAATAGATCAATAATTATTATGCAATTATGCATCAATGATGCAGAAAAACGAGGTAGATGACAAAGTATTTTGCACCACTGTTGGCAATAAAATTTCAAAAAATTTGTGTCAAAATTATATAATAAATTCTCCCGGCTATTCTGTACCATTGGTGCGTTTTGCATGAATTAACCCAATTGTTTCGCATCATTTTGTGTTACCGATTGTTAGATACCAACGGTGCTATTAATTTATTAAAAAATGGACCTGATCCATTCTAGTGAGTATCAGTTGTTGCTCATCCAATTGTTTCGCATCAGCTTGGAGAACCAACTGTTCAATACGAACGGTGCTACCTATTGCAAAATTGTAGTCCTTTCTCGATCCATTTGCACAATTAATTCGCACCATTTGCGCCACGGATTGTTCGATACCAATGGTGCGCCTAATTTAATTAATAATGGTCAAGGGGATTATTAATTAGCATCAATTGATGCAAAAAACTCGTGAACACACAGACAGACGGACGGACGGACAAGAGGAATTCAATAGCTCTCATGCTTCGCAGGGTGAGCTAATAAGGTGGTAATGAATCATTACGTACAATCCGAAATGACTCTGTGTCTCTACCCCGTCGGCTACGATTTGACGCAGAAATGGTAATAATTAGTTCGGGGAAATTCAAATTCATTATCAAATATTAAAGAAGTGAATATCATTAAGTATTAAATTTGAATTTTCCTGAACTTATTATTACTATTTCTGCGACAAATCGTAACCGACGGGGTAGTCATTCCGGATTGTAATGATTCATTACCACCTTATTTTGAGTGTATTAAACATGTTACTATCCTAAGATTTATCAGAATGTCTGAAACATTCACCTCACCAAATATGTACTTATGAATATATGTATGCATGACTTGAGTTTATCGCTTACCATGTCCTTCACCTGAAGGGTTACACGGTGGAGATCCCGGTAGAGAGAGGCAGAGCAGAGCTGAGAAAAAAATACAAAAATTTAAAGGATATTTGTAAATTTTGCAGATGGGAACGTTCATGTATTACGTCGTCATTTTAGTGGGTGGGTAGTTTATGTAGGTGTTCCTATCTTTCCCTTGTTAAAATTCCCTATCCTTTAATGCATACATACGTTGCATGGGTGGGTACTAAGAGAATTTTTGATGACGTAATATTTGGATGGTCCCTACCCACTTTAGTTAATAAACCCTCCTAAAATTCAGATTGGTGTTTAATTTATGTGTACATATGTATTCGAATTATATCGGTTTGACTTAATGTAACAGGTAACGAACAATGAATGAATGTAGCAAATATGTACTAACAACGAAGGTATCCCAACTCATGCTCACAGATTTATGTAGGTCAAACTACTCATAAATTAAATTAATATAAAGAAATACTAACGGTCTCCTTCAGCAGGGGCACCGAGTACTGGCAGCAAGGCATATGTCAGCACAATAAGGGTCAGGATTATCTTGGCGGATCCCATGGCAACCTGGGGGTTAAGGACAAATTAATTAATTTGTGAACTGTGTACGGCACACATGTTACATTAAGGCCCCACTGTGTGCGGGTTTTGAATTTTTCCACTTTCCCTGGTTTCATAATTTCAACTGGCGATTTGTCGTTTCTTACTAAATGAAAATTTTGTGACATCTAAATACCGATAATTTTATGGTTTAAAAAACCCAGGGGAAAATTCTATCTCAAAAACTCGCATGCAATGGAACGTTAAATAAAAGTTTGTAGGTTCAAAATTTCCAAGAAATGTAACAGCTATGAATTTTACCTGAAAAAGTACGTACGTATTTAGATATTTTCCTTGGTTTTTGTCTAACTTTACGCTCTCAGCGACTGTACGCCCTGGTCTCTGTAGCATTTCTATTTATACCCATTTGCTCCTGCCATGTCGTGTATTTACATATGTCATAAGCAGGAAAAAGTCACCCGATCTTCGGTCGCGTATCATAATCCACGTGATATTGCGAAATACATCATGAATAGTTAGGTTAGAATGGGTTTGTTAAAGTTGAGAAATGATGTAAGCTAATGATTTAAATTGAGGAATGATAAGCCATCTTATATACATGTATGTGTAACAACTATAGACTCAATTCTGCTTATGAAATATATTTACAGTAGAACAACATGCCTTGATTCAGTCCATCTTATCATTGACTATATGACCCGGAAAAATTTGCACAAAATTATGAATAGACTAGTGAATGTGCATAAGAAAATAAATATGTGTCTCTCTAAATGGTAAGTTTGAACAGTATTACATATGTACGTATTTACGTATTAACATAAGTGGTACAAATATGCTAATATTATATTTATATACGCATGTACAAGTTAACCCAGTGCAGAAAGAATGTCACCGATTTGAGGGGTAGGGGTCCAAGCATTCTGTGTTTCCCAAGCTACTTGAAATATAAATATAGCTCACACCAGTAGGGCAGGGGTCAAATTGCCCGGATCTTCGATAAAATACTTTATGTACGGCCCCTTAAACAGACAGCAAGATAAGCGACTGCGATTAGTACGACAAGCTTTTATGATTATTGTTCTAGCCAAAATTAATGTCAATTGGGACTTAGTTACATATTTACGAGTACTCGCTATGTATATATCGCACAGAAGTAACCACGGTAGGTAATAATCTTAATACTGTTTATGTAATCAAAGTCCACACAGGTCAAGATGCATACTTATTAAACCGTACATTTTTAGCTAAGAATACATACATGCATATGTACGAGTATATATGCATAATTACGTAGACTAAATTTTGCTACAGATAATGAATCAAGTAGAAGAAGACTTGATTCAATACGTATTGAAGACATTGACTTAGATGCCGCAGAATTTGCGCAAAATTATGAATAGCTAAGTTAATGAGCATAGGATAATGTATAAATGTTATTTATTAAATAATACATATGTGTCTCTATGTCAAGTGTGTACTGTACGTACATAAATATGCACCTATGTATGTACGTGCATAAGAAAATAAATGCAAATATGCCAATATTATGTTTACCTATGTATGTAAACGTTCAGCAGACAGCAAGATACGTGACAGCGATGTCCACGACAAGCTTTTAAGATTTTTGAGTTTTTTCAAAATTAATATCAAATGGAACACTGTGAGATACATATGTAATATATGTAAGAGTACTCTTTATGTACTAAATACTCCGCAGAAAATACGATAGGTAATAATTTTTATAGCGCTTGTACATATGTACATATGTATGTACATGCATACATTTCTAGCTAAGAATGCATACACTGATGTCAGGAATTATCCATCATTGGACAAGCTTATCGTTCAAATGTATATTTCTTAAAAAGTACAGTAGATATTCAAATACTTTTTTTTGTCACTAGTAGACCAACCAATTGGTAGTACAATGTCACGTAATCAGGTCTCAAAAAAATTTCAATATGGGGAAATAATGTCTTCTACCGCGAGCTTTCAAAATTCGGATGTCAGAAATTATCCATCATTTTTATTTAACTTCGTATTTTTAACAATCTTGTAATAAATGATCGGTAAAAGTAATTTTTAGTAACGTGTTGGCCCACCCTGAGCAGATATTACTGCTTGACAGCGGCGACCCATCGATTCGACGAGAGTCTTTGTCACTTCCGGGGTCACAGTTTCGAATGCATCCGAAATTGCATTTTTTAGGTCCTGTTTGTTTGAAATATAATAGTTTCTGATCCGTCTTTCGATATGGTCCCACAAATGCTCAATTGGATTCAGATCCGGACTTTGGGGGGGCCATTCCAACACTTTTATCTTGTTTTTCTTGAAGAATTCTCATGTAGTCTTCGCAGTGTGTTTGGGATCACGATCTTGTTGGAACGTGTAGCGGCGCCCAAGACCAAGTTTTGCTACAGATTGCTTTATATTACGGGACAATATACCCTGGTACACGTGTTGGTCCATAGTCCCGTTTAAGAATTCGTGACCTCCAGTCCCTGCGTAGCTAAAGCAGCCCCAAACCATAACGCTTCCACCGCCGTGTTTTACGGTGGGGTTGAGGTTCTTCAATTTTAGAGCCTCGTCTGATTTTCTCCAAACTCTGGCACGTCCATCCGACCCAAATAAGTTGTATTTGCTTTCATCAGACCACAAGATCGAATTCCAAAAACTTTGGGGCTTATTCACATGCTCCTTTGCAAACGCAATCCGTTTCTTCTGGTTGACCTTTGAAATGAGTGGCTTCTTCCTGGCTCTGCAACTCTTAAATCCTTCAGACTTGATTACTTTAATGATTGTGTTACGACAGGTTAGTTTTCCAGTTTCATTTGCAACTTGATCTCTGATCTTAGAAATTGTCAATTTTGGGTTGACCTTCACTTTCTTGATAATGGCACTTTTTTCTCTCTTAGAGAATATTGGCTTTCGACCTCTTCCTTGCTTGTTTACAATTAGTCCACATAATTTGTGCTTCCGAATTATATACTGAACTGTTGAACGAGGTATTTTAAGCAAATTTGCAATTTCTTGTTGGGTTTTCTTCCCATTGGCATCGCCCTGATGGTGCTTGATTACCAGTTCGCGAATTGCAAATGGCGTCTCCTTCACCTTCTTCCCCATAGCCTATTTTGTACAAGTTTTCTTCGTTAATCGTAAGAAAATGATCTAAGAACAAAAATAAATTAAAGAAAGAACTTACCAAAACAAATTATTCTTTTTTTCAGCTGAGGAGCAAAAAAGATGGATATTTTATGACACGTTGATTTTGAATGCCCGCGAGATAATTTATTTTTACCCCATATTGAAATTTTTTTGAGACCTGATTACGTGACATTGTACTACCAATTGGTTGGTCTACTAGTGACAAAAAAAAGTATTTGAATATCTACTGTACTTTTTAAGAAATATACATCTGGACGATAAGCTTGTCCAATGATGGATAATTCCTGACATCAGTGTATGTCAATTTTTGTGATACCGTGCATAAAGCCAGGGCCCGTTTGAGGTATATGCAAGCTAGGCATCCGCTCAGGGCGCCAAATTGTGTGGGAGGGCACTAGGTGCCCTTATAAGTACACTAGGGAGTAAGAACTATAGGAGTCGACAAAGGGATCCGCCAAGTATTTCAAAAGTGAAATTAAACTATTTCAGTATGTTCACCTTGGAGACAGTAAAAGATTTGCAAAATCTTTTCGGCGCCAAAATTGTCCCTGAGGAGTTATGAGAATAATGGGAATTTAATATGTTAAACTTTGGCGCAACATATCTTTGGAACGGCTTGATGAAATTTCAAATTTCTTTTTTGTCGCATTCCTTGGGTCAGTATGCCCAGGTGTTTTTCGAATTACGTTCAAATTCCAACTTTCAGGGGGTTTTCGCAATGATGAAGATGTGTGTCTTCAAGCTTCCTGCTTATTGCAGAATAACTGGCTGAATAGGATAAAAAATCTTCCGCTCTACTCGACCTGCTGATCACGTGACAGAGCCGAGAAACCAGCGCCGTAATGATGTCGAATTATCCAATTATTTTACGCTCGTTTATTTTATTTTGGCGTAAAAATCATTCAATTACCTAAATTCTTGACCAGAATTGAATAATTTAAACGCCAAAATAAATTAAATGGTGGGAGCCATTGTTAAATGGTGCAATAAATTTTATTGTTGATAACGTGTGCCACGGCGCTGTTCTGAAAATCTCATAATCACCCGTAATAAACTTAAAAGCGGTCAGATTTTGAATTTAAGTCTATCCTATCCAGCCAGTTATTTTACAATAGCTGCGAAAATCAGACTCCGGTCGGAAATAAGGAAGCATCCCGTCTTTGTTCGCATAACGGCCATCGTCAGGTCCAACGTACATTGGATAAACGATATCTTTGGCATCCTTAAAGATATAAATTATCTAACAAGGGACACTCACGACCTGTCGTTTGAGTCCATGGTAGCCACTATGTTTTTTAGAATCTACTAGGACCCCAGATGAAGGATTCATTCATATTTCCGTGTAAAACTCATATTTGGCGCCATGGCATGGCGCCAAACTTAAAAATTTGTATTTTCGACCAATTTCAAACCCCCATAACTTTTGCAGTTTATGTCGGATTTTCAAAATTTTATGCTTAAAATGATCACAAAAGTCGAAATTTTTGAGAAAAAAATAAAAATATAAAATTTCGAATTTTTGAAATATTTTTAGCATTTTTTCGACGAATCCCCATTTTCAAGAAAATTACGAAATTTTGCGAAAAGTTAAAAGCAATAATTTTGGAAAAAATTTCATGGGATAAGAAAGTTGAACTCCTTGTCATGATTTTTGCAAATATTTTGAAATTCCGTCCAGGATTTCAAAAGTTGAGGCGGTTTCAAAAATAAAAACATTCAAATTTGGTGAATTTGGCGCCACGGCACGACGCCAAATATGAGTTTTACACGGAAATATGAATGAATCCTTCATCTGGGGTCCTAGCAGATTCTAAAAAACATAGTGGGTACCCTGGACTCAAACGACAGGTCGTGAGTGTCCCTTGTAAGCGGTGACCCAGACGATGAACTTATTTGGCGGGTATTTCGGAAAAAAGAAAATATTCATGAGGTTGTTGCACACCTTTGCTCGTGCATTACGGAGGAAATGCAAGATTTGATGGTGCTCAAGCAAATATTGGTAGACTTATTTGGCGAAGACGAGTCCCTCCTTGATTTTCTGGATATGGTAGATGTGATAATTGATGGCCAGCTTTGTGCTTACATTGATAACAGAAGGTACAAGTTTGATAATCACGGAGGATTTATCAGGCTTTCTAGAGACTAAACCTGATGCCAAGTAGATAGTGGTTGTCAAAGAATTTCAATTGGACAGTAAATTTATGCATATCCTCAGGTAAGTATGTTAATTAATATTTTCTCCTGTACAAAACCTTATTTCAACATATTAATAATCAAATCCACAAAAAACGGAAATCTTATTGAGGCTGGGTGCAGCTATCAATATTAAATACATTTTTCGGAACATCATTTGCATCACGACTTTCCAAACTAGCTTATCCTACATAGATGCATTAATTATGGCTAGAATTATTGTTTACGGACATTATAGATGTACAACTTGAATAACAATGAAAAACTTTATTGTTTTTTAATGGTGTCAAGCTTTCGAGCTCGGTTACTAAATCTTACTTATCGTCATCAGGACGGACGTATAATGATATGGTGTGAAGTGTAACCCTCGGATTTGGTTGAAATTTCGAAATTATGTGGTCCATGACAATAAAGAAACGTTGCTTGTATTGACATGGACCACATAATTACAAAAATTTCAACGAAATCGGAGGGTTACACCTAACACCATCGCATTGTTAGATAGGTAATTATTTAAAAATTACTCAAATTTTTAAATTTTAAATTTTGCTAAACTCAATTTTTTTTAAAACTTGCACACATTTTTAAATTTAATGTTTTTTAGTGTTTTAAAGTTCTGAAGTTTTTTTTTTAATTGTGCGAATTATTTGAGATTGCGATGATTTTTTGATATTAACGTTCCAATTCTACCAGCCTTTTCGCCTTGGAGCGAGTACCTTCTCTTAAACAAGGCCGAGAACTTTTAGATTCCTCACAAATCTGGAGATTTGCAGGGTCCGCTGTTTTATGGATACACTTCTCAGTATAACCTTTTGCGGCGAGGCATTAGTTATTACGTAGTTTATTATGCAGTTTATTATGCAGGTTTCAACGACAACGATCTCGCCAAAACTACAGCTCGTACATATATATGTACATAAGCCGAAAAACCCAAACCATTCGAGAAAATGAAAATTAAATTAAATGAAAACTTCCATTCACAAACCTATAACTGCATATATGCAAAAGCTGCGACATAAGATTGTTGAAAGAAAGTTAGTGCGAACTCCATGGACCAGGTGGAAACCTTCTAAATACGAGATTGAACAGCAACAAAACACGAGTAAAAGAATGAATAAATGAATGAATAAATATTTTCATCTCTAAATTGTATGGGACGAACTTTGAATCAGTATTTTTTAAGTACATCCATGAAATCTATGGGTGTCGCCCATACATTACGTCATCAAAAAGTTGGGCGGGTGGGTTTGAGTGGCCCAGCTTACTCGGGTTAAGCTTGACATGAGTAGGATAGGGGAGGAATGAGTAGGTAGTTTCATAATCGGGCGTTTTTTGACGTAATATATGGATGCTCCCTTATTGAAACCGACACCGATTAAGGCTTACCCTCACAGTCTACATAAGGCTTACCCTCACAGTATCAGTCTACATAAGGTTACATCACTTGATGGTAAGGGGCATAAGAGTACCTTGCGCCAGTCCAAACAATTTGAAAAAATACCATCAGACGCAGAAAACCAAATTCTAAACACCGTAGAATGCATTTCCCTGAGGTCGACTCCTCCCCCCACAGGGTCGATGCGAAGTTTCGAGATAGGCGATTCAATGCATTACGCAAAGCGAGAGAGAAGGATGAAACTGGGAAGACTGCCCCAACTCCAACTTCTCCTCCGAACGTGAGGGTAAGGCTTAAGGCTACCAATGCCATGAGTAGAAATAAATTGCAAATTCAATTTTATTATCCTGTCTGATTGTTAAGTTTTACAACTGTTCTTCATTATTCAGTTTCTGAATCAATTAACCAATTGGACCCAAACAGCAGACAAGTAGATCGTCGCACCGACCTAGAGGAAATGAAGGGCTGCCGTCGCAGTTCAGTCGGCACGCCGTTGTTGGAAACGGAACTGTTAAAATTTCGCATGCTGGAAACACCCAAAGATTTACAAGTTAATTTTTGCGTTATGTAACCTTATAGTGAATTATGTTATAACATCCCACCATTTGAAAATTTAATTTAAAAAAATGAAAATTTAGCGTTATTGCTTACGCTCTCCTTCTGCTTGACACAGAACTGGGCCAAGACAGCCGTCAGCACGATCAGAATCATGAAAATCTTGACGGATGATCGCATGGCAACCTGGGCGATAGAGCAAAACTAATTACATTTTAGGGCATTATTAAGTGTGTATAAGAAAATGCATAAAGTCTGGGACGTTTGAGGTATGTACATATGCATATTTTATTAATGGTGCGGGAGGATAAATTGGGAATCAATAAAGACGACCTTTTTTAAAAAATTACGTGGTTTTAAAAAAACTGAAACGTCCTGATTTTATCATTACATTATATAGAAAAATGTCCATTTTTTGGCAAGAAATTTTTCAAACTTAACATTTATTTGCCATATTAAACAGCTCTCAGAATGAAGACAGATTTTACGCCGCGGAGAGAAAACGGCCAAAATAATTGACCCTTCAAAAACGACAATTGTCTTGGCCCCGCACCTTAACCAAAATTTTTCAGGACGACTTCAATATTTCTTCGGAATTAAAACATTTCTTATAAAACGACTCTTCTTCTAGCTACAAATTAAAGGGTTAATTAATTTGCAAAGTACGCACGGGTTTGCATTCCATAAAAGTCTTAACATTTCTGCAAATTTCAAAAAAGTATTTAAGTTTTACCTTGATAAACTCACTTGTTGGTTTATATTCAACTTTACACTCTTAGAAATGAAACTGATGGCTATAGTCTGCATATCATTTCTATTTATACCGGCATACTCAAGGTATGCATATTACGTATCTATGTACGTGTCATAATCAACCAAATATCGTCCGATGTTTGGTCGAGTCGCATTTGGCACGTGATATTACGAAATATGTATGTGCAGCTTGATTCATTAATATCTTACGATTATATCATATTAGTATGTATGTATCTAAATATACAATGTATGTATAAACCTGAATTTAGTTTTAGTATGAAGAATAAGTAAAGTAAAACAAGACTTGATTCATTAAATACATCTCGACATTTAATTAGACCTTGCAGAATTTACGTTATGAATAAGCTTTAGTTAATACCGTAGCATATTTTTGTGCAAAAGATAATACGATAATATATGTGTCCAAATGGATGGTAAATATTCATAAATCTACAAGTCAATATACGTATATGTATATGTATGTTTTACATATTGTGTCATCGCAAATTTTACTAAAATATGTAAATATGTATAATTACAGTGGGTATGTAATGTTCATATGTAAGCATAACCCGAATTTTAATATGCAAAGTAGTAAATATGTATGAACAAGTCTTGATTCATTTGATTTTTACACTGAACTGGAACTTACATAATTTACATAAAATTATATGAATAAGCTATTTAGTTAATACTATCGTATATCTACACATATGTATGCTTGTAAATATGTATATATGTGCCAACGATAATAATTACTGTCTAAATGGTACGTACATACATATGCACCTGATTCTTGAAGTGAATATGTATATAGGCCAATGTTTCACATGTGAACTTACATTAAGCACACATCAAGATAAGCGAGAAGAATGTACATAGCTACCTTTCCAATTCTACCTGTGCAAGTAAATTTTACTCAGGGCCAGAATCCAATCTTATTTTTAAATTTTAAAAATCTTCTGTTTTTTATAAACTTTTTTGAACTAGCGTAACAATTGGTTTGGAAATATTTGCATAACTATCAATCTAACAAGCAACATGTGATACCCGCACCAGGTTTACAGGTTTGCAATGTATCATTGAAAACATTATTATATTGCTCCTTCGGAAAAATAAATAACAAGCAGTTAACCGTGAATTTAAATGTTAAAAAACAATTTTGGCAAATAAATCATTTTGTGCATCTAAATTCATCTACATCCACAGAATTAGAGGAGTAATACTATATTACCCTAGAAGCAGTAATGGGCTGCGTGAGACTGCTACTCTGCCTCCCATGAGATGAGGAAAAGAACATCTTCTAACTCCGTTGAAGGTGGAAAGGTGGCAGATATGCAGCATGCATGTAGTGGTGCTGAGAGGGGTGTTGTGAGACTCTGATTCTCACATTTTAAAAGTTTAGTGCTCTCACCCGATTGGCTGAAATGTTGCACACTTCGGACGTGAGTGTCGCTCACGTTGAAATGCTTTTGAGCTTACGCTCAAATACGCATCCCTGCCCTTTGTCTACATCTTTCCTTGATCGACGATCGCACTCCACATAGCAACTTCTGCGCACAGATGATTTTCTTGGATGGTCAGAAATTTCTTGGCCGATCCCAGGATTAATCCCTCGTAATTTCTTAATCCGTCGCGGCAGTTTCCTGTCACGCTTGAATTGAATCACCTGCTTACATCGTGTCCAAACTGATCTAATACTCTTTACGATTCTTAACTTGTTATATTTCACATATTCCAAGACTCCAAGACAAATACACGCCGCTAAACAGATACAATCCAGAATGAAAATAGTTTGAATACTCCCGCCAAGTCGGACCACTTTAAATGAGCTCGCAGAATGTCGAAATTTCTTATCTTTTGCCAATTTTACCTCCCTATCCCTTAATATTGTCGCATTGAGCCAAACCAATTTAGAAATCTGGGAGTAAATCCCTGACTCGAGGAACAGTTTAAAATATCTCACCATTCTCGATTCCCGCCCAACGTGTAAGGCAAACCCGGCCTGCCCTTCAAAAATGTTTTTCGCTCCTCTATACCAATTTTTCGCGGGATAATTTCTCTTCAAATATTCATAGTAGGGCCCAATCTCACTCGATTGTCCGAAATAAGCTGACCTATCACACTGAAGAATTTTATCTTCTACAACTCTATTTATCTCACGGGTAGTTACACGGTCGTTAAATTCTAATTTCTCCGGATTCCAGCGAATCTTCGGATTCATCATGGAAAACAGCAGACTTTGCAAATGTTCAGGAAATTTGTCCGCCTCAGATAACATTTGCTAGAGTAAGAATTCCACAATTTTATATTTTCCAAGGGCGAATTGCCTCTCGTCATTTGGTACAAATTGAGACAAAACCGTGTAACAGAATTCCCCAGGTCCGGTAACATTTTCGACGTCCTGGCCAAATACCCTGGCTTGAAATCTGTCCGTCAGCATTGTATAGTTCATCGAACTTTTGGGTTCGTCTAGGCAAGAAATTTTTTCATACGTATCGACCCGTTCGCCTGGGAGGGGTGAGTTTAAATTGGTGATGAAAATACTCAGGTAGCACGTGCTCAACAGCATGCCGACCAAGAGCCAGGGAACACTTAAGAGTAGCAAGGCTGGAAAAGTCTTAAATTTTTTCGGCAGATGGACCACCTCGTCGATCAAACAACCAAAAAGATATAAGAAAAGTTCTCCCAGATAGATTTTCTTATTGAAAAGGTAAAATCCAAGAGAGACGAGGGTAGCCGATAAGACCAGCAAGATAACCGTAATGATCCACACGACGGCGTCGTAAGGTGCTAAATACATTGAATACGTAGGCCTACTCGATACCAAGTAGCACGACAAGGAAGAAAAGCCAGAAAACTTTGTAATGATTAGTTGTTTACGATACATCCCAGGAACAGGTCTTTCATGCCCGAATGACGGGTAGTAACAAGGTTCCTCAACAACCATGTGACACGCGAGGGTAGTCATAGATATTCTTTTGGTAGCATTAAGTTTATTTAGTGCCGTGTTAATTAAAACTTGGGACAGGGCGTCATTTTCATGAAAAGCGTAATCAAGGACCCAAACAGATTCCGAAAGTGGCGGGTAGTTAAAAGTGTCACATTGTACAATATCTTCCATTAAAGGTATATCATAGCAGGCGAAATTAGCTAGAGTTGGAACACTCCCTAAGCCTTGTTGCGTACAGAATTGCACCGTATTTTCACTGAGAAATAATAGAACTTCAAATTTGACTGGTAGTTGTCCGATAGATGGCTGGCAGTAAAGCGTGGCATTTACGTTTGACAGGAGTACTTTAGAGTCACTAGGAATTAAGAGAAAGTATAAATTGTCCGGATAAATTGCCACGTTGACTTTTTTATTTAGTGTGAAATGATACTTGGTCTGAGTCATGATCCAAAATCCTAACGCTAATTTGTCAAAATTTGTAAAATTTCACGAATTTATGGTGACAAATAAAATGAAAATTTCGCAAAGCCAGCCTTTATTTTGTGGAATCTCAAGTTTTGCAGGGGTGTCGTATGCCTGGGTGAAGATTTGCTCCAGATTATCTGGGAAGATGCGTTTTGTCAGGGTAAGAGGAATATTGCGGGTAGTTGGTAACTCGGAGGTGGAATTTTATTGTAGATAAGGTGATATCGACAAGGAGCATGAGGTGATAGGACGGAGGGCAAGTTTATCCTTGGTAATCCTGCTGTTGGTTTGACGATGTGCGAATTTGCAATGCAGCACAGGACAAGGAAGGTCGCAAAATGATATTTTGATTGTGCCATTTTTCTAAAGTGTACTTATCGTGGTGTTTAAACGTAATCAGTACTATGCTATTATTAACTTTAATAAAACGTATTAAATCAGGGACGCTATAACTAACAATGGAACCTTTTTCCAAGCTACACCTGGATCGACTAGCGACTTATGTCAAAAAATCAAGCCAAAAATTAGGAGTCACGTGACACTTATCTTTCCGTTGAATGGCCCCTTTGAAGAAAAATATTGGTGGTCAAAGTTCGCACTCCTCCCTGGTTTTCGCCCCGTGGAGGAAAAAGCAAAAGAAAATTTGCTCAAAAATTGAACTTAACCACCAGTATTTTTCTTCAAAGGGGCCATTCAATGGAAAGATAAGTGTATCGTGACTCCTAATTTTTGGCTTGATTTTTTGACATAAGTCGCTAGTCGATCCAGGTGTAGCTTGAAAAAAAGTTCCATTGTAAGTAAATACATATGTGCTCATCGCGCGCGAGACAGAATTCTGGTGTTTTAATAAAACTGACAAAACTGCAGTGTGGAAAAATTTAACGATGCGTTATTCTTAGAAATTTTCGACTTTTCGACAAGGAAATGATCGAATTTAACATTTGGCTGGCACATGAGAAATTCCTCAAGAAGATGACAGATTTTGCTTCACATAGCGTCAGTCTGCTCCCGAATCACAATATTTCTTAGACAAGACAATAACAAATCACAGAGTTAACCACATAAGAAGCCGGGAAATGCTAGCAATGTAAATATATATACATTTAGAATAGAAACTTTTAATTTGAAATACAAAACGAAAGTTGGAAATAGCAGACTACAGACATATATTAGTCAAAGAGAAATATATGTTTCCCTGTCCTTACTGTTACGTTTAAAGAAAATTGCTGACGTAAGAGTGTCGGCAATAATGGGTCGGACGTGTGCAGTAGATTGCCAATCATGTCCAATTTCTAATTAAAAAGGTATCCCAGGAAACACGCTCGACACAACTTAAGACAATATGTATGAAACTATTAACTGCTCAGTTATACAAATGTAATATGAACGTATTATTTTACGTACGCATGTAAATATGTACGTCCGGCTTGATTATTTTTATATAATGTTTAGATTGGTAACAAAATTAATCGATTTGTCATTACACTGATAAATAGCAATCTTATTATCTTTCTGTTTATGCTTAGCGTCCCGAAATATTAAGGTTCTATTGTATGCGGGTTTTGAATTTGAATTGTAGACTCCCAATGTCAAGTTTCCTTTCCTATGAGTCCTTAAATTCCGATTGCGAAACCTGTCAATCTCCACAATCGATAATAAGGTTAACAAAGTTATGAGGTTAGAATTTTGATGGTCGAAGTTATATTAAAAGGAATACTTTAGGTATGTAACTGCCTTCTAATTTTCGAAAGCGTTATGATTTCCTTTTCAAATTAGAGTCATCAAATTTTTGATGGTTAATGCTCTAACAAAATTATCATCGTTTTATTATTCCAGCGGCCTCACCACTTAAACTACTCAAAGTGTATGGAAATAGATTTTTCGGCCTTTTGCTAAATAGGAATTGCAACTATTGAATATATATTTGGATCATACCCGCATGAGCAATCATTACTCATGATCAGTACTTCATTACTCATCTTGTCCAGCTTTGAAGTGCATGGCCATTCATACACGCATATTACGTAAATGGCTTAATTGACGTATTTGTGCTTTATTATGTAGTTTTACGGGCAATATAATCCTGGTAAAAGATTTCGCTTCGTTGTCATAACTGATAAATGATTAGGAATGATGAATTTCGCGTTACACACACATATTTATGTATGTTCCAAAAAAGCATAGTTCACTTTTAGATTTGCTCATCGCCACACATTTGGGCAAACTATGTAATTATTAAGCATTAAGTTGACAAAAAGTTGAAGTTAAGCTAGTTTACCGTCTGAAAAGCTAAAGGTCTAGAACCAGTAATCCCAACGACGTGTATTATTTACAAGTAAGTGTAATTATCCGTAAGTCAAAGTAGGAATTAGGTTTCTTGGTTTGAGGTTACATATTTTGAAAGTATCGGCTAATTTTCACTTATAATAGGAAAGTAGTAGAGAAGATGAGTCATTTCAACGTAGGAATGGATATGTCGGAAAAAACGCTCATGAATCCTTTGGTAACCAACTTGGAATTATTTAATTTTCATGAACTCTCTATTTTCGCCCTTTATGAATAACCAATTTTGCTAATATTTCTCATTCTACCACTAAGAATTCAGCATGGAGGACGTATTAAGTAATTTTAATTTTACCTATTTATCCTCATTCTTGTTTGAGATTTTGGACAAAATATTCTCCCATCTGGATTTTACCACGTTGAAGACGTCCGTCCGTCTCGTCTGCACTGTTTGGGCCCACACAAGCACCCCCATTCTTGGACGGAAAGCCCTCGTCACCTTCTCCGACTGTAAGAACATGACCATTTTCAACTAAAAGCTTGCCACGAATATTTCCATATCCTTGGATTCAAACTGTACTTGTCTGCGCAATTGTAAATTCAGATTCCCGAAACCCGAATTAATACCGTCCCGTATTATTATCACACCCGATATTTTTAACCATTTAACTGAATTACACCTCTCAGCAGCAAGTAAATTCGAACCACCCGGCCAGGAAGATTGGTGTGAAAGAATATCGAGGAACCGTTACTCCATTTTGGTTGACAGCTGGGAGGACGAGGTCGCCTTGAGAGGGCCAAGATTTCGACCCCTCCCAAAGCTCAGGGTGCTTTCCTTTACCATAGGCGGTCCAAGGGGTCAACACTATCCATCTCTCGGCCCGAAAGCAATATTACAAGAGCTGCTTAATTCTGCACCCAACATAGAAGAGCTCACGATATCTATGTTTGAACGAAGTCTAGATTGGGAATCATCTAGCACAACGTTGAAGATTTTGAAGTACAGCGTGTGTCTCTATCCCTTTAGACCAAACGATTTTTATTATCGTCCTCGCACAGCTTTTTCCGCCTCCATAGTATTGGGCAGATTTGCGAAGTCTTTGGAAAAGCTTGAATTTCTTGAGTATGCAAATCCTCAGGGCTTTGCTGAAGTATGTAGATGTGCATTACCCGTCGAATTTTCAATATATGTCATCTTAAATATAGGTTGTACGTACATACATATAATTCCTAACCACACTCTAAATAAAGTTGAGTAAATCTGGTTGAGTAAAGTGAAATTGGTCAAGTTTTGTACAAAGTTAGACAAAATTTAAACTTGAAAAGAGTAAAATTTACACAACAAAGTTGAGTAAAGCAAGTTTTAGTCAACATTGAACAAAATTTGACTTTTTTGCTGAGTAAATATAAAATTAAACAGTGTTGGGTGATAAATGCCCAAAGGTTGATAAATTTTTACTCAACAGTTGTGTAAAATCAACTCTCCCCACTTGGCATCTTTTTCAGCCACAGGTATGCCGCCAGTTGGTTACAACCATTCACACGAGAAACAAGAGTAAATACATTTCTCTTTTTTTGAAATTTACAAAAAATGACTCAGCGATTGGAAAAAGCTCTTGAATCTACCGGCTTAACCCAATACGCAGATAAGTTCAAAGGTAAAGTTGCATTCTATTATTTTTTTGCGATTTGCTCGTATTTCTGAATAGTTATCAATTAAAATATTCATTTGGCTTATTTTTTTATTTTATTTTTTACAGAGAACGATGTTGACGACACCGTTTTTTAAAGTTTCTGGACGGTGCAGCTGGATCAGTGGAGGAACGTTTGTTTGCTGAAATTATCCCATCAGTTGGTCACAGATTTAAGTTAATTACATCAGCTAGAGAGGTTAGTAGATTAGAGTTAGGTCCGAATTTTAAGTGTAGTATTTGCGGAAGTAATTTCAATTGTTTTAAAGAGTATTGGTGCCACATTAGAGTATTTCATGAGGTCTCAAAAGGGAAGGTAAGGTTAAAGTGTCCTTTATGTTCAATGATTTTTACTGACTCTGAAAATCTTCAAAAACACGTCCAAAGAAAAGTTTGCCCTGTAATTCAAAAAGTTTCAAGACAAGTTGATTATATTTTTCCTGATGAAATGAATGACACTGAGACAAGTCTTCACGAATTATTTTCCGCTCAAGTCATTCGAGAAATTAATGCCGATTACAAGTTAGCTTTTTTAAAATCGTTACAAATGTCAGGTGGAATTTCCTTGTCAAAATCAAATGAAATTTTATCTTCTGCCAATACGTTAGTTAATAGTATAATTGAAATGACAAAAAACTTTACAAAAAATATAACAAATCCAGATGAACTTTTGATTCAGTTGAATAATTTGAGAGACCCATTTCCAAAAAATTCTTCATCCCAATATCAGCTGGAAAAATTATTGAAAGAAAAATCCTTTTTTGTAGAAGCAAAAGAGATAAAATTGGGGTCCCACTGGAAATTTGATAAAGGGAAAGGGATAATGCGAGAAAAAATTGACAACATTTATCACTTTCAATTATTTAAGACTTTGCCAGCAATTCTTGCAAAATATTATAAAGTTGCAGATAATAAACAAATCAATCGAGATTCAGAACTGTTTGAAAGTTTTAAGTCAGGTGAACTTTTCAAAAGTTTCAGAAATAATCCTCTCTGTTTGCAGATTTACTACGATGATGTTGAAATCTGCAACCCTTTAGGATCAAAGTCTAAAATTCACAAACTTGCAATGTTTTATTTTGTGATCGCCAATTTTCCCAGCCATCTAAATTCTAGACTTGAAAATATTTTTCCACTTTTAGTTGTAAAATCCAAATTTGTCAAAGAATATGGAATGAATTTAGTCTTGCACCCATTAGTTTGCGAATTAAATTTATTACATGAAAACTCTCCAAACTTGAGTTTCCTGGAAAGTAGTCCATTTAGTCATATTCAAGTTCTCCAGTTTTGTGGTGATAATCTTGGGTTGCATACCATTTTTGGCTTTGCTGAAAGTTTTAATGCAAACTTTAGATGTCGGTTTTGTAAGCTGGAAAAGGAACAAACATTTATAGCCATAGAGGAGGACGTAACTAAAAGGCGAATTTTAGTAGATTATGAAAGGGATTTACAAGTGGCAAACGTTAGCTTGACGGGAATTAAGGAAAGATCAATTGTAAATGATATTAAGGGGTTTCATGTTACGTCTAATTTTGCACCCGACATTATGCACGATATTTTGGAAGGAGTTTGTCTCATTGAATTAAAATTGGTCCTAAAGCATGTTACTCAAAACCACATTTTATCACTTACTGAGATTAACCACAGGCTGTCGTCTTCATTAAAAAAGAATGGTCATGCAATATCAAGGTTGCCAGAAATTGATGTTGCGTTTGTTGATGGCGACAAAAAAACATGCTTCTCTGCATCAGAGACAAGTCATTTTTTTCTTGTTTTTCCCGCAATATTTGGTGATAAGTTTAACATGAATGATAAGCACTGGGATTTAGTTCTAAAACTTCGTAGAATTTTACGTATTTTAATGGCACCTCAAATAAGTAGCTCGGGGGTTCGCTTGTTAAATTATTTAATAGGGGAGCATCATCAGTCGTTCATTAATTTGACACATAAAAATTTAACTCCAAAATTTCATCATTTACTGCATTATGCTCACGCCATAGAGCAATTGGGACCCCTAAAACAATATTGGTGTATGCGGTTTGAGGCTAAACATCGTCTTGCAAAAACAATAGGTAAAAATTGTTTCAATTTCAGGAATATTGCGAAAACAGTGTCAAAGAGAATATCGCTTAATTTGGCATTTTCATTTGGTGGGGAATTAGGAGGAGACGTAAACTATGGATCGGGGTCAAGAATTGCATTTAAGGATATGAAAGTATCTTTTGATTTTTCCAAACTTTCCCAAAATGCATCTCAAAAAGTACTTTGTGTTGACTCAGTAAACATTTATGGCACCAAAGTCAAACCTCAAAATTATTTCATTTTGAAAGGGGCATCTCTGAGTTCACAATTTTGTCAGATTTGCATGTGTGTAGTTCATAACGAGAAGGTTCATTTAGTTGTGAGACCAGTAAAGTGTGAAGAGCAATTTAGTTTTTCATATACGTTTAAAATAATAGATTTTGCAAATCCAATCTTAGTAGACCCTGACGCAATAGATTTGGAATATCCGTTAGTTATTGTGAATAGCATAGGTGATCCTGAAGGTCATGGTGTCATCTGTTGTCCTATTGAGTTAATCTAAGGTGGTTTTTCTTTGCGTATGTATATAGGGAGTGACGATAATACGCTTTTTTCTGTTAACCTCATTTGTAGATTTCTATGTACATATTTAGGTAGGTAAACAAACTTCTGAAACAGACCAGCGGGCACCTGGAGAAATGCTTAACGTAGTTCTGGTAAAAATTTTATTATTTTTTTCGGATTTAGATTGATCTAAATAGATTCATAGTAAAACAAACTGAATGTTTTATTTCAGGTCGAAGGCACTTCCAATACTTTGGACTCCGACAATCAAAATCAGCCGCCTAACGACGATAGAGTCGACGTTGAAATTTCATTCGTAGATTTTACTCCCTTGTTTGTAAGTAAACAATATAAATAATTGTATTCAGTTTATGATTGACTAAAATTTTCCTTTATTATACTTCAGGATGTAAGGCAAATTATCCTAACCTCTGATCAACAAAAGGGAACAACAAAGGGAAAGCAAATCCTTGAAGAATGTTTGGAATCCAATATCGTCACGTTTGAAGCTAAAAGCCTTATTAAACGTCGAGTGGTCAACCTTCTTATTCAGCAATACACATATTTGTAAGCTTGGTTGTAGAAAATTAACTTCCAAAACATATCAAACAAAATCTGGCCGAATGTGTCGCTGCACAACTATTTCAAAATTTACCAACCGTCCAACGGAGAGATATTATGGTATTATTAAAATTAATTTACTCATCTATTTTCTCATTATTCTCTCGTTTCAAATTTTTACAGAATCTTTTCTACCAGGAATCAAGGGTCATTAACGATAAATCTAGTCTTCATAAAAGAATTCCAGCGTCGGGATTAATTGAACATAGATTAAAGTACTTACGAAGGAAACACAAGGCCGGGGCAACAAGTAAATCTAAAGATTTTATTTGTTTGATGTCAGAAAGTATGTGTTACATATTTTGTTATCTATCAGAAGAATTATTATTAGACATTATTTGAATTTAAATTTTCATTATTAAAGGCCCATCGGAAGATGAATATGAAAAAAAATCGTGGCTCTCTTACTCTTCAACTCCTTTGTATCAAGTTGCTGAATACATGGCAGAAACATTTCGCTTGAGATCAGAAGAGCTAAGAAATACTGATAATTTATCCGTAACACTTAGCCAATGGCCACGTCTGATTGACACTCCGGGGATGGTAATGAGTATAAAATATTTTAATTTCAGTAAGCTATTAGATTGTATTCGATTTTGATCTATTTACAGATTGATCAAGATTTTTCAGTGCGATATCCGGGTAAACAAGAAATTGTGCTTCATAAATGGGACTCAATTTCCAAACAAATTTTGAAGTTTGCAAAAAAGACAAAACTTGATGTTTGCCGAGAAATAGGAATTACCCAAAATATCAATGAATGGTCTGCAGGTAACTTTATTATCAGATTGTTTACATACTACAAAGGGAACTTTCATAAATTATGCAACTCAAAAATTGCAATTTCTAGACCCAGTTCCTATTTTATATTTGTCACTAGTCACGATATGGTTGGACCCTTAGACCCCCTGCGCCCCCTCGATTAACATAATTTATGAACGTTCACAAAATTTAGTTCGCTATATATTTTATTTTTCTATATGCATTCTCGCAGATCAAATTAACGTCGGATCCTTAATTTTGCTACCGTATCTCTTATCAAAATCTGCATATACTAAAGGTAGCAAAAAAAGACGAAAAATAACAGGTGGCCAATCTGCAGATTTTTTTATTAAATTCATAAAGGTGAGCATACATACGTTCTTTAATTTACTCTAACTTTTACTAAGTGCTTCTTTCGTTTAAATCTCAAGACAAATGAAGATTTAGAAGAATTTCGGTTATCAGAATCAGTGAGAAAACAGCCATTCGTTTTGTGTCTCGGAAATTTGAAGAACCTCGAGATTCAACAAGCATACATCATGGTGGAAAGACGCCTCATGTTAGCAGAATCTCTTGTCAAAGCAGTGGATACATGCTTCAAAATATTCTACGTTCTGCAGCTGCAATTTCCAGAAGAGTGCTCCGGGGTTTGGTGCTTTTTCGACCACACTGTATTTCAAACCAACGAAATTAAGTCGCCAACATCGTCAGTTTTGTCTCTGGGGAGTCAAATCGATTTGGAAGAGCGACCAAACGAGAATTTATTGGTTTAATATTAAAAATATTTATATATTTATACATTTTTATGAAAATTAATACTACTGTAGTTATACAGAACTAATAGTCAGTTTAATTATCAGTATTTGTGAAACGCTTAATTATTTTAGTGCCCATAATTTGATGATCATAAATTGCAAAATTATTATAAATTGTAAGAAATTAAAGAATAAAGAATAAATAAAAATACGTTTTAATAAAGAAGAGAGTGTATTTTGATCAGCATAAAAGGCAAAATTTGAGCAACAAAAGGGTAAAATTTAATCATTGAGTTGAGTAAAGATTTCACAACTGGTTGAGTAAAGATTCCACAACTGGTTGAGTAAATTTTACTTTTAGTTGTGCAAAAAGATTGCTCAACTAAGTTGAGTAAAATTTGTCCAACGGTTGTGTCATCCTCTTTTTTACCCAACCTTGGACAAAATTTTACACAACCTTGTACAAATTTTCTACAACTTTCTTGCAATTTGAAGCAATTTGAAGCGAGTGCAATTTGAAATTTAGATTGGGGACGTTTCCCTCCCAAACCTTACGCATCTTGCAATCCATGATGCCGGAAAGTATGACGTTGAGGGCTTTCTTGACAATACTCACTTACCGAAACTGACTCATTTGTCGGTACGCCACGAGCTAATGGCACAACTGTTTAAACCTGGACAGCGGAGCCACCCAGGAATAACGTCTCTCGAACTGGTTACCGGCACCTCTTGTTGCCAGAAGGATGCACTTGCCGCCTCCGAAATTGTCGGCCTCTTCGGTGACCGAGTTTAAGTTGAAATTGAAATTAAAAACTTATACAGAGGTTTGCACTGGAATTATCGCTATATCAAAATTGAGGGATACTATGGCTGCCTTCCGTTACTGGGCGTTAGCGAGGGGGCAGGTCGGTATTAAAGGCGTGACCTCGGAGCTCGTAGCCGCCATTTTGGACGGGATAACGGAATGGCGAGGTAGGAGTTTTTTGGTAAGAATTAAGATCCCCAAATTTCTATAAAGTGTCGTATGCATCAGAGAGTTCAAATTTAAAAATTACAGACAAATTTGTCGAAAAATGGCTACCAAGAAATCATACAAAATTGTATTTTGTGTTTTATTACACAGGTTCGAGAAACACGTCACTTGGGTTTCAAAAGTCTCAGGAATTTGACGATTTTGAATTGACTAACCATATTAGAGATGCGCTCGTGGCGTGCAGCTCGATTGGGCAAATTGACATGTCTGGGTTCTCGGTACGTTCTCAATGGTTCAATTGAGTGATTTACAATATGCAAATGGTTACATAATAATAATTTTTATATAGATGGCTCAACAGACTCGGAGCGATTTAAAGGAATTAATTACACGATGGAATTTGCCAGTTTTCGTCTAGGGTGGCGTGACTCAAAGAGTGTACAATATATGTTTTATTGCTACTAAATATGTTCTATTAAAGCCAACTTCATTCGCAGTTAACCCAACCGGTTCGGCAAAGGTTTAAAAAGAATATTTGCAATTTTGGACTTACATATCTTTGTTGGTATATGCTAGTGCGGCATACATATCGTCGTTGAAGCTGCCAAAAGGGCCTTCTCCCAAAACGAAATTTTTCAGGAAAGCATAAAAACAAAAAATACCTATAAAACTCAATGTTTTTATAATTACGCACACACAACTTTTATTCACTCAAATAAATTGTTAACAGCAAATGAGTGTATTTTATAACTGTTTATCAGTTTATTTACCACTCTTTATGAGACAAATTATCGTAAAGAGCATGAAACTCAATATCAATTACAGATTTTAAAATATTGATCTCCGATTTTGATGCCCTTTGCATATGTTGTAGTACTGGGAAAGTGAAGGAAAAGTGAAGGAGGGTTTGCTTCCATGGCCCCGTTTCGGCTAGCCACACCCACTAAAAGAGTCAAATTAACCTATTGTCGCTCATTCAAATCTTCACTAAAAATTCAGTTTTTCTCATATTTCGAAAATTCTTATACTATTGTAGTCCCAAATAGTCACTTTCTCATATACGGAATCAAATTTTACTTCTTTGAAATTTTGAGTTTTTCAGAAAATAAAATTTCGAAAATCTTTCGAAAATTAAAAATATAGAATTTGATATCGAATAGGATAACACAACTATCCAGGACTAAGGAAATATAGGAAATGTCAAAATCTGAGAAAAACTTGGATTTTTGGTGAACAATTAGACCAGTGAAAACAGCTATTTCTTGCTCTTTGAGGGGTGTAGCAGGCGCAAATGGGATCATAGAGGAAAACCCTCCTTCACTTTTCCTGCACTTACCTAGAATTACCGCATATCATAAAAGTTTCGGAATCAGATATTCATACAGTAAGATGTTATATGCACCTCAATCACTCTCGCTTCCGAAGCTTATTTAGGAAGTTTCTGAATTTTCTAAGATTTTTTGGTTGGACTTAACTTGTTCAGAAAATACTGTAGAATTCCTTTACCCTAAAATCTCAGTACCCCCCAAAAGTGGACTTGGCCCCTTTGCCAATTGACGCAAAATGGAGAAGGCCCTTTTGGCAGCTTCAACGGCGATAAGTTCCTCATATATTGTTTGGTCTAATTGGTGTAGACATAGGACTATAATTATTAAGTGTATGCATACATGGTAGTTTACCTTATAAAGCAAATTAAGTTAAAAGTTATACGACATATTGAACACATTTCGAAAATTCTAGAGATATACATACAAAAGTTTTCACAATTTCTAATTGACGTTGGAACTAGTCCGTCAAAAATAACGCACTAATTGCGGATACTTCTCAAAATATTCGGTGCACATTTGCTCATCGAGTGAAACGACTTGTTTATATCAGTAATTCGCAACTAACACATGAATAATTTTAGTAATCTGGTATAGTAAGCCAGGTATTGATTTCTCAGTAATAAAGTCGTTGTCGTTTTGGTATTAAAATTATACCGGTATCAAAAATTTCTATCGACATGGTAAAATTTAATGCTGACCAACATACGTATTCCTATAGCGTATTACTTACCAAAACCCCTATGGCAGAGTCATTTATCCATGACTCCCCAACGGTAGTATTTTAATTCTGGATGTCTCAGGGTGCGCACATAAAAAATAAGTTTTCAAAAACGGGTATCGAAATTTTTAGTACTTTCTAATGACGAGGACTGCCTTATCAAATAGATAGATCAGCGTCTGGATAAGCTTTTCCCAAAATATTGATTTCCAGCGCTGTCTCAATCTTGATTCGTCGTAAATGAGCTACCCACAAGTGCCAATAAGCGAATGAAATTCGTACCGATCTGACAATCTGTAAAGGTTCATGTCCCCCAAAAGGTCGATGTCGCCACTTGATCCGTTATCCATCCAGTTGATCATGGCTGACACCGTGGCATAATCCGCGTTAATTGTGACATTCATTTTATCAATTCGAAATTGTGGTCTTGTAATATTTTTCGATATATGGGGATCCGTGATAAATAAATCAAATGCATAATTTTCAAGAAATTATTGATTTGCTTTTTTACAAACATAAGATTTCATGCCATCTAAACAAACACATATTTCGGTGACTTTTGATATACTTTGCAAATGCATAGTAAGATCTGACGTCCTTCATATGGAAATAATGCTCATCAATTTTTTGTAGGTCCATCATCATACGAAGTGATCTTCGTTTAATTATTTCACAAGCCATACCAATTGAACCGCTTGGAACACATGAAACAGAATTCCAGGGCTTTTAGATAACACCTATTGCATCTACTAAATGCATGTAATGATCTCATCTGGAATCAATCATTACCACTATCGAGTCTGGTCAAGCACTGAAGTATTACGTAAATGTTTTGCTTCATTGGCGTATGTATTTGTGCTTTATTGTGCAGTTTTGACACGATGAATATGTAATTCTGATAAAAGTTCCAGCTTCGTTATCAGAACTGATAAACGGTTGGAAATAACCAACTAGTTATTCTATATAAATGTATATATACATATACCAGCAAAGTATAGTTCAGGGAGGGACCATCCATATGTTACGTCATCAAGAATTCTCGATTTTGGCCCAACGTAAACATTAAGGGATAGGAAATTTTAACATGGGAAAGATAGGAAGACCTAAACCACCCACCGACTAAAATGATGACGAAATATATGGACGTTCCCGGATAGATTTGCGCACTCATTGCAACACTTGGGCAATCTGCTTATAAAGCGCAAACTTGTAATTCAGTTAGCGTAAAAGTAAATATTTGAACTAAATACGACGCAAATCTTCCTCACTGTTTAATAAACCTAATCGAAGCCAATAAGACGACCAGTATCATTTCCAAGTACATAGTTACCAGAGGTGCGAAATAAGGTAAGAGGGTAGAATTTAGGGTTAGCAAAATATATGCAAAAACTTAGCAACTAATGTTTGACAAATCACTGCGACTCGACTTGAAGATCTGGATTAATTAAAACATACAACGAAACTGATCTTCTAACATGTTTACTTACTTCGTAAATGTACTCTCAATAATTTTATCATGCCATTGTCGCCAGCGAAGGTATGTACTATACGCTTTGGTAATAAGTCATCATTGAACGGTAACAAATGTACATATGCATGGACGAAGGTGACATCCTGCTAAGCCCTCAATGTTAACGCTCAGCTCAGCAGTGATAAAAATACTACCAACTCCGGAGATAATTTCTAGCCTTTAGTAGATATCTTGTTATTGCGGTGTTACCACACCGTATACTTGCATAGTAACTCCCATAGTAACTTGCATAGTATATTACTTGCTCAATTATTAAGGGGTGAAAACCTTTTATGGAAATGTATTGTTTCTCTGTCCGACTGTCCGTCTGTCTGTCCGTCAATCTGTATCCACGATAACTTTACAACGGAGACGTTCTTCGACATGGGATTTTCGTCATTGTGTTTCTAGTTTTTCAAGTACAGATGATTTTCAAGTCGGGCGTTGTAGGACATAAGGTACTATGTCAAGAGAATTAGATAAACGGTCAAAAATGTTGAATTTTCTGTTTTGACCGTACTTGATGTAACTTTGGACGGGGATTTCAAAAATCCCCGTCATTTCGACGTGCGAGGTCCCCACGACCGTGTGGGCGGTGTCGAATGTCGAAAAAATGACATTTGTAACGTGTGGGGTGTATTGAAAGGTATGGTCGTGTATTTTCGAAGTACGCGGGGTGTCAAAGCGGGGCAATAAGAGATAGTGACGTGAGACCGGAAAACGCCAAAGACGTTGAAGGCGTGTAACAAAATCAATTCCTAGTGTCTTCATCCCTTTGCTACAGTTCGTTTGTGACGGTATATTACTGAGGGTAGTCCACATCCGTGAAAACGTTTTTGACCTTTAATATCTTTGGCGCTAGTAGAAATTTTGAATTGAAATTTTACAATTTGTTCACCTTATAGTCAGCATTATGGGTGCAAAATTTCAATTCGCTAGTCCAAATGGCCCCAGAGATATATGCATACGAAAAAATAGTACTGTTCTAAAACTGCCCAAAACTGCATAAATTTTACTTTTCAGAATATTTTTAAAACCTTCTAGAATTGTGAATTGTTTATGGAATTTTATGTGGGTGGTATGAAAATTCTTGGCATCTAAATATGTGGCTTTCGTAAATAACTCAAAATTTCCCAATTTTTTAAAAATTCATTTCATACCAGGTGGATTTGTACAAAAAAAGCGTGAATAAAGTTTTTTTTAATTAAATGGAATTTTATAAATCACAATAGTTAAAATGTTTTTATATTTATAATTTTAGCAGTTCGAGGAGACATTACTGATGGTAATGCAAACAGATTTTGGACTACAAATGTTTAATTTCGTGTAATGGAGGGACTTGGGAAAAATTAGCGAAATGTTGACAAATTGGGGGCTGTTATAACTTTTACTCTGAAACTCTACCCAGCAATTTTTTATCAAAATTTAAACTGCATTGTGTACTACAGACATGGGGTCACAGAATTTGCTGTTTCCTGGCATTTCTAGCCTATCAGCAACTGCTCCATGTCTTTTAACCGGCTAATTTATGTCTGAAACAAAATTCAACAACATCATTGTTTTACTGTGGGGTTAGTTGAAGGTCTGATTTTCACACTAGAGAATTTAAATTTTGCACCCATAATGCTGACTATAAGGTGAACAAATTGTAAAAATTTGAATTCAAAATTTCTACTAGCGCCAAAGATATTGAAGGTCAAAAACGTTTTCACGGATGTGGACTACCCTCAGTAGCTACATTTATTATTAAAGTTTGTCTGTAATTTGGTTTACGATAGTTATCCTGATTAAAACACGCCAGCGCATTTTAAAATATACGTAAAATCGGATAGCAAACATTATGCAGACTCTGCATTGCAGAGATAATTGTCTATGATTATTTTGAAATTACTTATCTGGATTTAAATTCAACGCAGGGTCAATTTCCTGCATGACAAGAATTCACAGTGAACGAGATGGTTGATCGTTTCCTGGCAAGAATGGAAAATCCGGTGTTGAAAGAGGCTCTCATGAATCCTTTGGTAACTTGGAATTACATTTTTAATTTTGTGAATACTTATTATCTTACTTGTCTACGAAAATAAGCCTCAATTCGATCGAATTTGGGTTGAAAAATTAAAGGGCCAATTTGTGACAAATAAATACACATGTCTGGATACCATTTGCAGATTTTGGAGAAGATATTCTCCCATATGGATTATTTCACCTTGAAGGGGTCTGTCCGTCTTGTTTGCACCGTTTGGGCTGACGTAGGTACCACCTTTCTCGGACGGAAATCCATCGTCGCTTATTCCGACTTTAAGAACAGGACGAACTTCCATGTGTTTGGATTCCAACAATTTTTGCATTCACAATTGCAAATGCAAACCAGAATTAAACGCCTCCAGTATCAACATGCCCGAAATTTTAAACGGCTTGACTGAATTATACCTATCGGCAGGAAGTAAATTCGCACGTGGTCAGAAATCGTGCAGAAAAATCATGGCTGACTTTCGTAACCATGTTTCTATACTGGTTGAAACTTGGGAGGACGAGGACGCCTTTAGAGGGCCAAGATTCCGACCCCTCCCAAATCTGAGGGTGCTTCGGTTTAACTTGGGGAATACAAGAAGTAATGACTATCCGTCTGCCGGCCCGAAGGCAATTTTACAAGAACTACTGAATTCTACCCCGAAGTTAGAAGAGCTCACGTTATGTATGCATGAAGAGAGTCAGGATTGGGAATTATCTAGCAAAACGTTGAAGATTTTGAAGTACAGCGTGTGGCTCTATCCCCACGAAGAATCAGATCATCCCAGGCCTGAGCCTCCTAAAGTTCATTCTTTCCCCTCAAAAATATTGGGAAGATTTTCCAAGTATTTGGAAAAGCTTGAATTAGGTTTTCCTTACTTTGCAGAACCTCAGGGATATGCTAAGGTACATAGGTGTGCATTACATGTTGCATTCATATTACATACATGTGTAATTATTAGCCAACTTGGAACTTAGATTGTGGACATTTCCTTTCCGAACTTAACACATCTTACCATCCACGAGGGCTATAAGTATGATGTGGACGACTTTCTGGACTCCACTCATCTACCGAAACTGACTCATTTGTCAATTGCTGGAATGTTGAGCACGAGACAGCTGGGCCACCCAGGGATAACTTCGCTCGCGTTAGTTAGTGACACATGTTATCTCCGTAATGAAACAGCTGCGTCCGAAATTGTGGACTTCTTCCCTTCCGTGACCAAGTTTAAGCTAACATTGGAGGTAAAGCATTATACAGGTACAGAGGGGTCCAGGACAAAATTAGGGAAAACGATGGTTGCCTTTGGCGCCTGGGCATTGGCGAATGGGCAGGTCGTTGTCCAAGGCGTGACACCGGAAGTCGTAGCCGCCATTTTAGCAGGGCTAACGGAATGGAGAGGTAGTAATTTTTGAATAGAAATTAATGATTGCTCCATTAATACCTATTTTATCACATAGGCTTGAAAAACACGTCTATTTTGTTCAAGACGTCTGAAAAATTTGACAATTTTGTACTCACTGACCGTATAAGAGATGAACTTGTAGCATGCAGGGCGATTCGACATATTGATTTGTCTGGGTTCTCGGTACGTGGTTCAGTTGAGCAGGTTACAAGTTATCAAAGCAGATGCCAATGTAAATACATAGGAAGTTGTTTTTTGTATAGATGGATGAGCAGACACGGAACGATTTAACGGAACTAATTGCACGGTGGAATTTGCCAGTTTCCTGCTAGATTCGTGTAATTAAAACGAGTGTAAATATATCTGTAATGTATTTTTGGAAATATCTACACAACATTATATTAAAGTAATATTCGCAGTTAGCACATTTTGCGTAGTTGCCAAAGAGAATATACGGTTACAACCGAGATAAGAAAGATGCGAAACCATGGAACCTGCGTTATTAGTGGCTAACTGTGCGATTCTCTTAACTTAATATGTAAAATAAACATAAAATTTTATTATTTCAAAAATAAATAAATACAAAATCTATCGCCTAGTCGGAAAGTAGGACTCCTTCATACATTTTTAGTGGAGAAGTAGAATACAATGAGGCATATAAATTGTAAAAAATTATCAGGCCAAAACTTTACCCAACTAAGGTCCTCGCCCTAGAAAATCAGACACCAGGTATTTTAGTGGGGGAAGGGCCGAAACACAAGTTTATAAATCTGAAATATTCATAGAATATGATAGATGCATCTGGCAACGCAACCTTCAAATTTCAAACAATTTCAGCGAGTAATACGTTTGGTACACCATTTCAGTGGTGAGCCCGCGAGACTCGGAAAGACTCGGAAAAGGACTCGCTACATTTCAAGGAAGAAAGGTTGGGCCGTGCAAAAATTAAATCATACACAAAAAAGTATGGGGAATCCGAAAATGTCAAGTTCAAATCAGCACCATGAGCAAAAATCATCGTATCAACCCCTGAACTGTAACAAACCATTGAATCTATTTTCGGAAAGTGCCGCTCCACGTCAGTGCCTGATGCGGCCAAGAAGTAAAATATTAATCAAAACGACTTGTATCACATTAAAGCCCGTACATTGTGGGTCAAAGCATATAAAAAAATCTGCAGCAAACCATACGGAAGTTAAAAAAAATTGTTAACGCAAGACCTCCTAAGCTCATCAAAATTTTACCAAAAAGATGTCCATTGACGACAAGTCCTACGTCCCTGAAAACGTGTCAGAAGCTCCGGGAAGGAAATTTTGTCATGGGAAATATATCTCTCAACTTAAAACCGAAGGGAAATTAAATGCTAGTTAAATTTCGATTTTCTTCGAAATTTCTCAAGGAATTCCAGATTTGGCCGTGGTTGGGCGAGTTTGGACATTTTTGAGACCCTTAAGTTCGCATGGACTGTGTGGTGCACATAGTATAATACGCGTATATATACATAAATACGTGCGAGAACTTGAACTTTGTTGTGATACATATTTTGTTAGGATTATTCAAATTCATTGGTCAATAATACATATATATATGCAAATAGGCTCTGCAGAAGGTTTATAGCGAGGTTATTAACGATGGGTGAAAGTTGACAAGAAGTCAAGAATTAGCCTCTATTTTTACTGTTTACACGATAGCCAAGGTTGAGTAACCTCGCCCAAAATCTCACTGAAGCTCATGTATTTATTTGACGTTAGGATTACATTAAAGGGAAGAAATTGTATCAGTCTTCTTTATTTTTGGACGCATATGTATGTATGTAATGTGGCATAAGTTTAGTTGTTGAAAGTTTGCAATCAAATAAATAAGTCCAATTCTTGTGAAATTAAAGTTACCAAAATTCTTGCACAAAGTAAGATTGTACAATTTGTGTACAGTGATAATCAATGTTTGCAAGTTAAGTTAACAAGAAGTGACAGTGTGCGAATAAATGTTTAAAAACATTGAGAAAAAAACGGAGGAAAATAAGTGGGCAGTCAAATAATTTTACTTGATCATGTCTATCGCTGTCGCTTTTTCTCAGCATGGTGTCGAGCTTGCTCCGCATTAACGTTAGATGAGGTGACTCATCGCTTGTCTGACGTATATTCTTTCCCCTCAAGAGTATTGGAAAGATTTTCAAAGTCTTTGGAGAAGCTTGAATTAGGATTTCCTGACTTTGCAGAACCTCAAGGATATGTTAAGCTCAAGGTATGTGCATTACTTGTCACATTCTTATTACATATATCAGTTGAGAAACTATGTGTGTATATATGTAATTATTTAATTATTACACATCTATATACACACATAGTAATAATTATTATTAGCTAACTTGTAATTTAGATTGTGGACTTTGCCTTTCCGAACCTAACGCATCTTACCATCCATGAGGCCTTTAAGTATAATGTGGACGACTTTCTGGACTACACTCATCTACCGAAACTAACTCATTTGTCGGTACTCATCTCCCAAGTTTCTGAAATGTTGAGCACGAGACACCCAGGCATAACTTCGCTCGAGTTAGTTGGTGACACGCCCTGTTACCTGAGCAATAAAACAGGTGCGTGCAAAATTGTGGACTTCTTCCCCTCCGTGACCGAGTTTAAGCTAACATTGAAGAGACAACATTATAAAGATAGAGAGGCAAGACGTACGATAGGTGCCTTAGGTGCCTGGGACTTAGCGAGGGGGCAGGTCGTTATACAAGGCGTAACTCTGGAAGTCATAGCCGCCATTTTAGAAGGGCTAAGGGAATGGCGAGGTATGGAGTTTTTAATGGAAATTAATTACTGCTCCGCGAATTCTTATTTTATCATATAGGTTTGAAAAACACGTCGCTTGTGTTCAAGAAGTCACAAAAATTTGACGACTTTCAATTAACTGACCGTATAAAAGATGCACTTGTGGCATGCAGGGGGATTCGACATATTGACTTCTCTGTGTGCTCGGTACGTTCTCAATGCTTCAATTGAGTGCTCTTCAGGATATTCAAGTAGTTATATAAGTATAATTTCCATATAGATGGATGAGCAGACTCGGGGCGATTTAAAGGAATTAATTACACGGTGGAATTTGCCAGTCTCCTTATAGACTCGTGTAATTCAAAGAGTGTATTTTTAGTATCTACTAAATACTGTATAGATTAGATTAATGTGCACTTTAAACAAACATTAGTAAAATTTTGCAACCGTTTATTCTCAGTTACAACTATTGGAATATGTGCTAATTGGAAATACTTATGACACTAAATACATTAAATACAAATGCGTAAAATCTGTTCAAGGTTGGGTAAAAAGTAGGATGACACAACCAGAAGGTAAACTCTATCCAGAACAAAATTGTACAAAATTTGCCTAATGGGCAAAGTTTACACACGTTTGGATAGATTTTACATTTTAGTTCAAAGTAATTTAGTGCGTGGTCAAAATTAATTGGAACAGCGTGAGAAATGTGACAAGAGTAATCTTCACTCATGTATATACAAAGTGCTCCGTAGTAATAATTTTTACATCAGGCATGTAATCCACGGTGAGTAAATAAGGAAACCCACGTCATGATGTACATATACCTATTTATTAAACTGTGTGATAAGGAGATTTACGTGGGTGTTTTATTATTAATTTTCAAAATGTATGTTCCACACTGTTTCTGACCAAACTTTTGATGAAATAACAAACTTCAAATACTTTTAGAATGCTGTGATTTTTTTCAGTTCTGTAGGTTAACATTAACACTAGCAATAACTCATTAAAATCTACCTCGAAAATATGCCAAAATTTACGACTTGATTTCATTATCATCCGAAAACCGTTTTCCCCTGATGTTTTTCTTTAAGTTTCGAAACGAATAATAATCACTAAGGGTCAAGTCCGGACTGCACGGGGTGTGGTTTGTGCAGGTAAAGCGATTTTCGTCTGCACTAACCCTCGCAAAAAGCCAGGTATGAAGTGGCGCGTTGTCGTCTAAAAAAAGGCCAACTCTTTATTTTGACCCCACGTTTCTTTTCAACCGGAGGACGCAGCTCCTTCGGGGTTCCTGCATACACGGCCCCATTTATTGTAGTATTTACAGCAATAAATTTTATAAGGAGGGGACCTTTGATATCCTTGAAAATGGTCATCATCAATTTTTTGTCAGATTTTTGCACTTTTCAATTCTCGGGCGGTGGCAACCCCTCGTGCTTCCATTGAGGGAATTATTATTTGGTCACCGGGTCATAATAGTAAACCCAAGTACCATATGCAACTAATAAAATATTGAGCAGGTTCAAGTCTTCATTTAATAGGTTAAAATTGGCATTGCAAAAGTCGACTCGATCCTGTTTTTGAGATGCTGAAAGCAATTTTGGTACCCAACGGGCGGAAACCATTTTCATACCTAAGTCTTCAGTTAACATGGAACAAATTGCTGGTTTTGAAACACCCATCTCATCTGCTAAATAGGACAGTTTCAATCGCGGATCTCTCATTATTTGTTCCTCTAGTTTCCGGAGCCTTTCTGTGGAAGAAACGGATTTTGAGCGTCCTGGCGACTTTTTGCCCGAGACCTCGTTTCGCCATCATTTAAAATTATTGACCCAATTGAATTTGTGTTTTGTATTGGGCAGTCTTCATCGTAAATTTTAAGGATTCAACCATAAATCTGCGACACTTATTACCCATCCAGCATTAAAAATTAAATCACACTACGATATTTAATTTGCAAATCTAGCATTTTTTCCGTCGAGGTAAAGTTTGCCGATTTATTGCTAGTGTTTATGTTAACCCACAGAGCTGAAAAAAATCACAGCCTCCTAAATGTATTTGAAGTTTGTTATTTCATCAAAATTTTGGTCAGAAACAGTGCGGAACATACCTTTTGAAAATTAATAATAAAACACCTACGTATTTCATATGCTTGAAAATTGAAAATTGTTGAGGACAATTGTATGCCTGACTTAATGGTTGAGGACTTCAGTCCAAAATTTTATGTCATCATAATCTGAAAGGGACAAATAGTGAAAAACATGGATTTTATGTCCTCCATCGTCCACATTTTTTACAACAAGGACGGCAATTGTACTAACATAAAACAGGATTAACTTTTCTCCCCGCTTGTTCATTCAGAATATTTTACTATCATTGTGTTAAAACTCGATTTGATGAAAACAAGCTAATTGTCCGTCCCACAGATTTTTCAGTTCTTCACTTCCAATTCTTATAAGTAGCAAATGAATAAATTGACCCGATAAAAAGTGTATACGAAGAAAGTGAATGAATATGACTGAATTCTTTCACTTCGAAACTGTAAGGATAAATATTGAACCAATCTTTTTTAACGGTACGTACATATCACGTGGGCTTAAAACGGATGTAAATTAAATATGCTGTTTGTTGAAAAAAATCCCAGTTTGTTGGTAAGGCACCATAAATAAAATTTTTTATTTTGAAAATTTTTCGCAGTTTTATTTCTTTTTGAACGAACATTACGCAAATATGTATTATCAATTCTGCGAGTACGCATAAATTTTGACTCGATTTTATTATCTCATCATACTTTAAAATTTTTTTATTTAATGTATCATTTTATTTTTTTAGTCAATTAAGCAGTCGATTTCAAGATACTCGGCCTTGTTAAAAACCTATGAAACAGCACGTCAACCCACGATCACACCTACCAATAGGGGCTGGCTCCAGCATGTCGCATTCTGATTTGCATTCAAATAATGCAGCTGGTAATCCGAAAAGGGTGCATGCTGGAAATATATTAATAAAGATTTCAATTTATTTAGTTAGTTTTTGTATATTAACTTTATTTTGTTGTTTTTTTCTTCTCGGTCCTAAGTTTTGTCGCAATATTTTAAACATTCATCTCTTTAAAACTAACCACAACCAATAAAAATTTGCAACATTATTGAAATTTATGTATACACTTTGGTTGATAAATACTATGCGAAGTTATCAGATCTGTATCTACTTAATCCACATCCTCGTCACGTATAACATATAGGGGGATGTGCAAAAATTATGTCACAGCCGTAAATCTCTTTTTTCATCACTATTTGGCGAAGAAGAGAGATAATTTAATTTTTCCTACGATTCTAAAACCAGGACAATTTCTAAAATCCGAAACCGGGAAGGCGCCGACGCCGGGACAAGTTTTGAAAAGCGGGACATGTCCTGGCTAACCCGGGACGTATGGTAACCCTATATTAATTTTACAATTTAGCAGAGTTGGGAAATAATCCGGATTAATCAATATATTTAAATGGTCAATCCCAATCCATAATCCGTAATCTTTACCCTTGGGTAATCCGGATTAATCCGGATTATTTCCCAACTCTGCAATTTAATTGTATTGCTTACCCTCTCCTTCGGCTTGACACAGCACTGGGGCCATAACAGCTGTCAGCACTATCAGGATCAGGGTAATCTTGACGGATCGCATGGTTGGAAAACTGGGCAACAAAGCAAAAATGTATTAATTAATTTCAGAATTAAGTATGAGCAGGTGTGAGGTGGTTTACCCAGATTTTGACCGCTGAGAAATAATCATATTTTTCTGTTTTCTAAAATTCCCGCATTTTCGCTTGTGGAGAAACTTTAGCTTAAATTTCCAAACCCAAATTATAATTTTTTAAAATACTTACTCTCCAATATTAATTTAAAAAATTCAAGAGCATGTTTCATGCAGGTTGAATTAAGTAATATAGAAAAAGAAATACTTTAGAAAACCTTTTAATGTTCCGAAATTTAAATATTTTTGCATTTAAATTATAATGTTTTAAAAAATTCGAATTTTGGAAACTTATCCAAAAATTCCGCCCCACGCGATCAGTTATGAAAACGCGGTAATATCTAAGGCTTACCGTGCGTAAACAATTTAAAATTAGTCCGGCAAAAATAGGAGAAAACCAACTAATGCCTATGCCTTGTAAGCTCACGAAATATAATTCACAAAAATATTTCCAGCTTTGAATCTTACCTGGATAAATTTTCTTGTCGGTTTTTATTAAACTTTACGCTCCTACGAATGAAACTGTTGCCTCGGGTCGGTGTGTCGTTTCAATTTATACCGAATTTGAACAATCATCCAGTATATGTACCGTATTATGTATTGCTTCTCACCATCAAGTTAAAGTCATCCGATGCTAGGTCGCGTCTTATTATTCACGTGATATTGCGAAATATATTGCAAAACATGGGCAACTTGATGCATGATTATAAGTTATCTTATTTATAAATCCTAGGCTAAATTTTAATATGAAAAATACATAAGTAAAGTATTCAAAATAAGACTTACATACATACAGTATCCCAATTAATTGTTGATGCGGTGCATGCATGCATTTTATATATCACAAATACTCCATAACGGGTTAATATTTCAAATTGATTTTTACACCAATTATCAACAATACTTCATACTACAATTTTTCAAAATTTCAATTGAATTCGTCCAAAACTGATAAAATTATAGATAGATATTTACATGTCGAGAAGTTGCAAATTGCACGCCACAAAATTGTACATGCAGCTAAATAGTCCAATCAAAATTTTATGTGTTTGTTTGTTTCTTCTGACTCAAACCATTACATTCCTCCCAAAATTCCAAAGTTTCACACCAAATGCTAACTGAACCAACCATCAAGATTTCCTTGACACCTCTACTTTTAACAAATGATCCAAGAAATCAATTGTCCGCACCTGAGTTTTGCTTCCCCCACACTCTGGTCACTCCATCTGAAACAGGAAGTTGAATTTTGGTCAAATCTAATAACGAAAAAATTTTCCTGTGACATGCGGACATCCTGAGTCCTGCCCAGCCAACGCGAAGGATTTCTTGTGGTTTCTCAGTAAAAGATCTTTGGTGTTTAAATATTTAGCGAAATCCCCCGATAATTCAGCTAATATACGCCAGTGTCTAATCGATTATAGGTGAACATCACTGCAAAGGTCACTTTGAACACATCTTGCAATCGTTGGCATGAACAGACGAGGATTATCCTTACCATTCTTATGAGTTGCGTGTCATGACATGGCGATGTACGGTTGTTCGACCTTGGTATTGATGGTTAAAATGAGCTGCCATTTAACCCAATTTTTTGGGCAATATATTGTACACGTGGTCCTCAAATTTCAAGTTTTTCGCCAATTTTTCCATAACTTTACCCATTTTCATATCCCGCAACATTTCTGTTCGAATTTATACATTGATCTCGTTGTTACGTACTATTTTGAAATACAATTGAAAGGAAATATTTTTTATTGGCAACTTAAACAACTGTTCTGTCATGTACAGCAAGTAACCCCGAACGAAATTTGTATTGATACTGAAAGTCCGGTTTGTTAAAGTAAACTCAGCTGCAGCGTGCTATTTGCAAATTTCGACATTTAAATATCTATAAATTTATCAGTTTTCGACCAATTCATTCGAAATTTTGCACGATTGCATTACGATATATTTTTAATAATTGGTCTAAAAATCAACTTAAAATATTAACCCGTTATGGAGTATTTGTGATTTATATAATGCATGCATGCACTGCATCAATAATATAGTGGGGAACTGTAAGTCCTATATTAGTGAGATACTGTATATACATTTTAATTACATCTGACCATTGACTTTGACCCTCAGAATTTGCATAAAATTGTAAATAAGCTCGCAACTACTCTACTACACGTCCATATGTATAAGTAAAATCATATGTAAGGTAACTATGTATGCGTCCGAGTCCAAACGGTATATTTATAACATGCATGCATAAATATTGACATACATACATATGTACATAATCCAATGCTATTCATATATATGTACGCACACGGTAAGTAGAAAGCAAGATAAGTGGTAGCGATAAGTGAAGCAAGTTTTAATGCTTGTGGTTCTGGCTAAAATTAAAGTCAATTGGAATTATGTAAAATACATAAATACGTTTGTAAGTAGAGTAATTATTATACTTGCACTAAATATGTAAATATGTACATACATATTCATTAGTATGAAGAGTGGTAATTTTTATATCGTGTAGTCAAAGTCTACCCACGTCAAGATGAGTTCATACGTATATATGTACATACATATGTGTGTATACATATATACCTAAATATATTCAAATTATGACATATGTACATATGTATATATAGCTAAGAATATGTAAATGCGATATACCGTGCATAAGGTGCCAGAGTGGTTGATTTCTATTTACATATGTACATACATACATAATTGGGAGAGGTATGTATATACATATTTACGAGATAGATTTAGTTCCATATATGGTTGCACCGCTATAAATATGTATGTCAGTCCTGGTAATCAGAGGTCAGAGTTCACCTTCGCCAAGTACATACCTATTAAACTGTGTAATATGTACATACGTATACAGGGTGGTTAAAATTTTACGCGACAATGGAGAATATTTCAACGGGGAAAATTTGTAAATCTCCATTAGTTACCGAAACTTTGTCTCAGCAATGAAACAATTTTGTCATCATTGTTTCCATTAGTTTTGATAATAATTAATAAAAATCTCAATCCCAAATATTGTAGTAAGTAATGGAGATTTTCTCGTTGCAAAATTTTCTAGTGTAGCGTGACATTGAAACCACCCTGTACAAGTATGTAGCCAGGAATAATTTTCTGATAGCCACACATAAAGCATGTACTGGATTTGTTTATGTATGTATGTATTTGGGTTCATTTTCCCCACAGTTTGGGATTAGTGGATCAAATTTAGACTGACTTACAATAAGTACCGGCTTCCAGGAATTCCAGGCAAATGCAGGGTCACCAACGAACCCTGTTCCTTAACGATTCCACATTTTACCCTTGTTTTAAATATCTAAGATTTAAATTAGAGAAAATTTTTAAGGTCTCTCAGAATTTACTAATCCGAGTTATTTATGTACTGAACTACGATATTGAAATGGGGTAATTTTCAGAAAGGTGACATTATTTGTAAGGGTCCATAAATCTCCTAACATCGCATATTTAAATACAATTTTAGACAAACCATAATAGGCTAATTCTCTAAAGGGTAGCATTATTTGTAAGGGTCAATCCGTATAAGCACCACATATTTAAATACAAGTTTATCTACACTAACCATGTGAAGGCATGGGCAAGTGAAGGGTCACATATTTCACTCTTTTAAAAAGGTACCCTTCCTCCTTCCCACGGCTCATTGTTTCTCCAACCAACCGTCTAAACTCACCTCTCGTAAAAAATTCTGAATTTCAATATAAAGATTTCCAAATTTTTAAATTTTCTCGCCATGGTGACACCATCTGAGCCACCGAAGTGCCCAACCCGCCTTGATCTCTGCATCCACGACATTTTTCTATGCGTCCTTACAGTACTTGCGCTACTTGGGACAGTTATATTCTGTCTTTTGCACCCTCAACGCCCCGAGATCCTGCTTTCGCCCGATGGCGCCACGTGGCAGGCGGCACATTGGTCAAAGCATGATGCAAAGTCTCCTCCGAGTAGTAATAATACCACCCAGGTGATAATCAGTTTGACCCAGGTAACAGCAGAACTGACACGGGGGGAAGAACTGTCCCTGAATTTCTTGCTCCTGCAAGAATGGAGCGATCCCAGGTTGATCGTCCGTGATGGGGAAAATGGTGAGTAGAATTTTCTGAAAAATTTGTAACAATTTATTTTAAGAAATATCTACATATGTACTTGGTCACATTAGGCCCCACATATTTAGTAGCTCTTGGAAAATTCTGAGAATTTCAGGAAAAAAGTACTCTTTAATATTCTTGTTTTAATAAGAAATTGAGAATTCTGAGAACCACTGTGAGTCTCAAATTCCATCCAATAAGGCTGACGGGACTTTGAGATTCGCACTGCCGTAGTTGATTAATTTCCGCAAAAATTCAAACTAGCATGGAAGGAGAATATATGCATAAGTCCAATTTCAAAATTTCTAAAATCTGGGAGTGGAAAATTCTAAATTTTCATGCTACAAATTCATTATTTTGTCTTATAAATAACGTCAGTTTGACTAAAACATTAATAAATTATACATGCTTTTGCTGTATTTATCAGGCAGTTGAAAGTTTCAACTTAAAACCTTAAATTTTATTTATTTGCTCCATATGTACATGGTTGGTTTGACAATTTAAATATTCCTCAACTTTTCTAACATTAGGTCCAACTGTGCAAAATATTGAGGCGATTAAGGGAAATGGTGCTCCAATTGGAATTTGGAAACCATCCCTTGGATTGGCACCTACCCACGTCGCGGATAAAAGCACAGAAGAAACCTGGCTCTCGAAGGACGGAAGGGTAAGTCCAAATAGAAAATTTGCCTAGAATTTAAAACACACACTATTAGAAATCCAGTATTAAATTAATACGACACGGTATTCATACATGTGTACGCATATGGTTCAATCAAAGTGAGGCCGGATAGTAACAGTTCACTACTAGAGTTTTACCAAATTGATAGCAAATTTTTACGGGCAGGTTTAATTTTACTACAAGTGGTAGCAATCAAAATCAATGGAAGGAAATAACTACATACCATCGTTTCGTGACTCTACCAAAATTCTAAGAGTGTATGCTAAATCTATATTATTCGATGCAAATTTTTGTGTAAAACGGATTTGAAAGTGGAGTAAGTAAAATTTGCAACAAAAAAATCACACCCTTTTGACATTGGGTAAACAATTAAACACGTGTTTCAGGATTTTTCATAAGGCTCGGAATTATGACGGAATCCGTGACCGATAATTGGCATTTTTTCCCCTCGCGAGAAAAATTGCACGGTAAAAATGCTAATTCTCGCTCACATTTTCCGTTATAATTTCAGTTAAACTGAGCATTACGATAAATCCTGAAGCACGTGTTAAATTATTTACCTAATGCAACATAATTATCGTAATTTCGTCAAAATCGGTGCGAGACCACTGGCGTCGTCGCATTGTTAGTGGTTTTATGGTTTATTCAAAGAGCGTTTTAGAGTAGTTTGTGGGGATTTCAAAAATCACAATCATTTCCGAGTAGGATGCATGCACACGAACTCAAATCAAATCAACTCTCTCCCCTGGAAGACGGGCTTATGCTCTAGTTCATATTTACATAAGGGGCGATCCATAAATTATGTTACGCTGAAGATGGGGGGGAGGGGTGCCAAGCATCCGTGACAAAGTGTGACATATGGAGAGGGGGGGTTCGGCCGATCCGTGACATCACGTTTTAAAGGCCTAACTCAATGCAAACTTTAACTCAAATTTTAATTCTTCGACTATGACCAAACTACAGTTTCGCAATTATTTAAAAATATTGGTCCAGCCGAATATCAAATGCATCCAAAATTTCAACCAAGGTCTAGATTTTAAGATTTTCAACCAAGTTTCTAAATTTTGTTCAAGCCTTCAAATAATTTGCACAATATCCACAATAATATAGATCGTTTGTAAATTTAAAAAAAATTAAAATTCATGATGCCATAAAGTATAAAGTTCGCATAATTTCAAAAAATCATCATAATTTTGCAGATATTCATTCAACAATTAAAAAACATTACTAAATCTCCAAAAATTTGCGCAATTTAAAAAATTCGTCCGAAAGAACCATAGTCATAGTTTCAAAAATGTGTACTAATTGCAGACAGCTGCATGATTACAAAATTTTAACAATTAAAACAATGTACAGCAATAAATGAAAAATTTGGTGGTTGAAAAACTTTAAAATCTAAAAATAATACAAAATTAACGGGAATTTTGGAAAAGGTTGTTATTTACAAATCTATAACGCTATGACTTTTCACTCCATCAAAAGGTGTCATATGAGTATAAATAGAGCTAAGAATTGCTCCTATCGATAGGAGCAATTCTTAGGATAGCTATCCTGTAAAATTACACGGGTTTCACTCAGTTATTGAAGAAATATTTCGCTTCAACCGCTATTTGCACTACATCTTCTATGAAAAAGCCGTGGCTTCATGAAATTCGGTAAAATAAAGTTAATTTGTGAAAAAACCTAGGTGACATAGCACAAAAGATTCCCTTGTGAGTCCTGATATTACGCAATATTTACTACGCGCCCCCCTTTTATACGAATATGCATGTTATTCTTGCTAGGTATCGGACAAATTCAGATTTTCAGGCGTGACGTGACAAGAGGAAGGGAGGGGTCACGACGAGAGTGACAAAGGCGTGACAACAGGGGAGGGGGGTCCTAAAAAAGGGCTTTTTTGCGTGACATAATTTATGGATCTCCCCTAATTGAGGAATAATCAATTTCCCATCTTTTTAATGAAATTCAGGTGTTTCGAAGTCAACCACTCACCTTTATCGTATCCCCGTATCGGTCCACTTCCGAATATTTTATCAACATTTTCACTACCCGGGAATTTTCCACCGGGGCGGTCGCCTTGACCTGGGACAGTCTCGATGGAAGGAATCCGCTCAGTTTCAAGAACTCAACGCTCGGAATAGCACCTATCGTGAGAGGAGAAGGGTTACAAAATTCGCGACTCCTGTATACGACGGGGCATTGTGAGATGACATACCGTGCTACATCTTTGAAGCGAAGCTGCCTCCAGGTTCGATTCAAGCTGGAGAAGATTCCAACCTTGTACCCGTCTAAGGACCTCGTCTTGTATTTCCTGTCCGGGATCATATTTTGCTTGGTGGTATTTCTTATAATAATAATTATTTGTGCATGTAAGCAATAGTGGGTTACACTTATTAAAAAAATATTCAAAACTCATTCAAATTAAAAATTGAAAAAAGTTATTTTTTGATTATTTCAAAATCTAATCTTTCATATCTATTTAATAAATAAATATTTATTCAACATGAATACTCATTTTTTATTTGTTAAAAAAATTATGCGTTCATTATTGAATTTTTTCATAAATATTTAGCTATTATTCATTGTTCATTTTAATCCATTGGATCAAAAATTCGAATTATTAGACAGGTTTCTCTTTATGTCTTATCTCTGTAGGTACATAGAGGCCGATACACAAACTAATCCTAAATCAATATTATCGTCATATTTGCGACAAATATCACATCCTGATTACACACAGATAAGACATATATATGTATGTTGATAAGTTGCTACACACATATCATATGTGACATATGAAGGTTCGAAGAAATTCGGGAAGTATTTTAAGTATGTATTTGCCCATTTATGGAATTTCACCGACATGAAAAGGGATGCTACTTACATAATTAGTTAATCTAACTTAATTAGTGGGGGAGAAGGGAAAGGGGGCATAATTTGTTTATGAATATGTACACCTGCACTCTTAGCAAACTGGTAATAATTTAATAAAAAATATTATTACCGAGGGTTTGGTAATAACCATTAATTCCACCACGGTAATAAAATCATTACCAGCTTTTATAAATTTTGGGTAATGGACAATATCGGTAAATGGTAATATTAGTTTTCCCCGAGTGGCGATGACTCCACTCCGCGAGGAATTGAATCAATGCCATATTGTGCTGACAGTCAATGCCGATGTAATTTTACTAAAGAGTAACAAATATACACCAAACGGTGTAAACAATTTTCATAATTTGGTATTGTAATATTACTGGTAGAACCAAAACTGTTACCACATGGACGGAATATTCACGCCATAGCCATCATCATTCCTCGTCATCTACTTTGTAGTTACCTTGGCCGTTAAAGTCAGCGAAGTAAAAATGACCAAATTGGTCAGAGTTTGTAATTTAGCCAGGGGAAAGAAATTAATTATTTCTTCTGGGGATTATGAACAGTTCTTGCGTAGTGGTAAGTATCATTCCCATTAAATTGAGAGCGTGTTTTAAATTTGTGCATTAAATAACTCAAAAATATCTAAAATGTGTGTAATTATTAGTGAAGACCAAATTTCAAGTCGAGACTGACAACGACATCATTTTGGAAGACGACCATGGCGCTGAAGTTGATGAGGAAGTATTCCCTATTCTGTTGGATCAAGGCATAATCCCAGCAATAACATTCAAAATCGTGGGGGAAGACGCAGCTAGTGATGGATCGTACACCCCTCAATGTCAACAAATTTATTACAGTGAGTTTTATAATCTGGATAATATAATAAATAACAATGAAAAGCAAAAGAAATATGTAGCGTTTTTGTGTAGTTAATAGCCCTGCGCCCATTTCGCCTCAATCGCCAGCAACTCCAGCGTCGCCCCAAGGGGAAGACTATTTTAAACAGGTACATACTTACTAGATGTATTTATATGTATCCTAATGGAATTAAATAAAATGCGGAATCAAGTAAATTTTAATGATGTTGCAAATTCTCAGGCTTTAGAAAGTTATATTGAGAGAAAACCAGACTTGAAGGAATTAGTGTCAAATTGTAACGCAGAGAGATTGGTAGACTCGGCGGCCGCAACGAAACTCATAAATGATTTTGTCTCGGTGTTAATTGATTTAAGGGGGTAAGTTTTCCTTGTTGTTATTAGCAGATAATATCTGTCTATAAAATTAATCAAATTAACTTTACAATATATAGGGATTTACCATCCACCTCTGATCAGCTGCGATTTGCCAAGGCAATAATCGAAATTATTCCGTGTTGGAAATACCCGGATTCAATTGATGGAATTGTATGTGCAAAATTATAGCTTCCCTAGAAATTTGAATTTAAATATATGTATATATTATTATTCCCTTATTGCAGGATATTTTGTATGATACTGTGAACCGTTCCGGCTTAATTCAGACTCGTTTACGATGGATTCACCGAAACGTTAAAGAAAAAAACCCTCTAAAATCTTTGAAGCGACCCGTAGCGAGTGGAGCTGGAGCACCCATTTCCAATAAGCAAGACGGACATGTTCAAATTGCTGCTGACGATATCGCCATCGCGGAATTAAATTCCTCACTTCCGGAGGACGAAGTTAGGCGTCTCATGATACAAACCTTGGAGCACAGAAATTATTTGCGAGGCACTAATGAAAACTCAGTCCTCCGGGTGTATCGAAAATTCTTGGAATGCGGATTTCTGGTAATTACTACAAAGTTATTAACTGTATTTAGATTTTTTTTTACCTTAATTTATTGACACAAATTATGATAGATTAACTTCGAGTTCCAGCTGATGTTTCCAGCTAATGCGGCCAAATTTCTGGACACGTGGGAAACATTGAGGGAGCAAATATTAACAAACTGTAAAAGAATCAGCAAATCGACGGCTCTTCATAAATTCATAAACGATAATGCTGGTATGAATATAATATGGTTATAATTTCGTTAATTTTGCTTATTTCGTATAATCTGCTGGAAAATCAATTTATTTGCAGGAAATTGGGATCGGTCAACTGGCGCATTGTTGGCCCTGCTTTATTTAATCCCCCCGACAGCGCATGGGCGAGGGAAAGGTGCGCGGTGCAAAATTGAAGATGCGGAATCTAGACTTGTAAAATATTTTAAAGTACACATTTACAACATATTTGCTTTGAGTGTTTTTGTTTTATAGGAACATAACCTGTAAATATTCTTACTCTTTTAGAGTGGAACGCCATTGCAGTCAATTTTAGATACTTGGGATTCGGATATCAGTCAACCCACTTTGGTGTACTTGGGCGACGATAAAACAAATCCGTCGACATTTTTCATCATTTGTGACAAGTTGGCCCTTCCGCTGAATGCCAGTAATTCTACAGAGGCCATCGACTCTCTTTTTAAGGCTCATTATGTGATCGGGACAAAATACGACCAAAATTTGGATGGATTATGGAAGTTTATGCAAATTCACGTCTTCCAATTAGACATTCAAAACACAACTCTTCCGCGCAAAGCAAAACAAGTCCTCCAACAACTTTCAAGCCTTTCGGAAAGCAATTGACCAGTAATTTTAATAATATAAATTTCGGTAAAAATGTATTATTGTTCTGAGTGCAGAAATACGTTTACTCGGGTAGAAGATATTATTGTTCATACAAAATACATTCATAATATAGGTAGTGCAAATTTTAGGAAAAGCTTTTGCCCCTTCATAAATTGTTCCGTTCAACTTAGTTCTTGGAGTGGTTATCTTAGGCATTTAAAATCACACGATGTCTCGACCGCAATTAATGTTAGTGAAGTAATTAATGCGGTAGTTAGTCACGAAGCATTGGAATCTCTTCCGACGAATAATAATAATAAGTTGGATGAAGACGAAGTAGTAGAAGATATCTCAGTTGAACTAGGCATTCAAATTATGTCGGATATTTTAAGTAGCTTTTGTTCCTCACTTTTAGCAAAGGGTGTAACAAACACAACAGTAGATTTTGTAGTTCAGGAATTACAATTTAGTTTTACACAAGTAATTAGTTTAGTCCTAAAATTAGGGAAGAAGTTTTGTAAGGATGATTTTGAATTCTTCAGTTGTCAAACTAAAGGTTTAATGCAAGCTTTTGCCACAATTAAATCTTCATATCAAAGACAAAAAATGTTTGAGAAAACGGCCAGACCAATCTTACCCAGAGAACTGTCATTAGGTAGTAGAACTGAATTGAGAGTGAAAAATAACAAACGACAACAAGTAATTGTTCCCGATACATTCATGTATGTCCCATTGCTCAAAACTTTAGAATCCATTGTAAATTCCCCAAAATATTCAAAGTTTTTTATAAATTATAATTCCAATTCGCATGAGGTAAATGTTTACAAAAATTTTAGCGATTCTAAGTCCTTCAAAAATAATATTCTCTTCTCCAAATTTCCTAATTCGATTCAAATTCAATTATTCTACGATGACTTCGAAACAGTAAATCCATTGGGGTCGAAGCGTGGTGTACATAAAATTGGGGGAATTTATTTCACAATAAGAAACTTCCCGGACTATATAAATTCCAAATTAAGTCAAATTCATTTGTTGGCTCTTTTTTATACTGAAGATGCTAAAAAATATGGAATGAACGCTATTCTTAAATATTTAATTCCGGATATCAAGTTACTAGAAAGCAGTGGGATAAAAGTGAATGGGTCTGAAACAATTTACGGAACGATTTCTAGTTTATCTTGTGATAATTTGGGGATGAACTCTTTATTAGGTTTTTCAGAATCTTTTAACTCGCATTATTATTGTAGAATATGTTGCACGTCGAAGACGGAGGCACAAGAGGTGTTTGATCACAATTTGATGCACATTCGGAGTAGACCTGATTACGAACAACATTTGAGACAAAACAAATTTGGGGTTCAATCCGAATGTGCATTGAATGAGCTGCAATATTTCGATTTTTTAAATTCCCCATCAGTGGATATTATGCACGATTTATTAGAAGGGGTTGTGCCATTTGAGATCAAGATTGTGTTGCAAAAACTCATATCTTTAGGCTGCTTTAGCTTAGAAATTGTAAATCAGCGACTTATGGCCCATAACTATGGATATTTAGAATCCAAAAATCGACCAAATCCAATTCGCTTAGATAGCACCGGACACAAAATTGGTCAAAAGGCGGCACAGGCGTGGTGCTTAATAAGGCATTTACCAGTAATTCTGGCTGATCTAATCGTTAGTGAGGAAGGAAGTAAATATTGGGAGCTTATTATTCAACTTTTAGAAATAATGAGTCTAACGTTTTGAGTCTAACGTAACTAGAAATTTTCATCTTCTAGTTTACAAATTCTCGACCAGAAAGTAATGACACACCACAAATTGTTTCGTTTTTTGTTTCCACATGAACGACTAATTCCGAAACATCATTTCATGTGCCACTACTCTCATGTAATTAGACAAACTGGGCCATTAATATCTCTTTGGACAATGAGATATGAAGCAAAGCACAATTATTTTGCACAATTAGCTGCACATATTAAAAACTTCAGAAATATTTGTTACTCTCTAGCATTTAGGCATCAACAATACAGCGCATTTATGATGCAGTCCTCCGAATCAAGCGATAGTCTTAAAACTGATCATATATTTATTGTCAATCTTAGTAATTTTGTCGATTCATTCGATTTAATTGAGAGTTTAAGATTATTTGACTGTTATCAAAATTGTGACGGAGAAACACAAATCTATACAACCAACCAGATTTGGTATCGAGGGTATAATTATAAGACGGGGTTTGTAGTTTGTTATGAAATGGGTAACGTATTTCCAAAATTTGGAATTATTAATGAGTTTCTTTTGCCTAACGATAAAACTTGTTATTTGCTTCTTAAGGAACTAGATGTGGAGTATTTTGATCGCCATTATTTTGCGTTTAAAGTAAAACATAAAATTGATATATTCAAAGTTATTTCAATTACAGATTTAGTGGTTCATGACTGTTTTGAAATTCAAAGAAATTGTAGCAATGAATCGTTATATTTAGTTCTTAGACATCATTTATAATTTACACGAGTTGAATGTATATTACAAAATTTCGAGTTTTTAATTATATTGCATAATGGATTATTAATTCGAACATGTCATTGGTAAAGTTAAGTTAGTACACTTTAATCGTTGTAAAATAATTAATTTTGTCATCAGTAAATAAATAAATAAATCCTCACTAAATAGTGTCAAATGTTAAGTGCAGGGGGTTATAAATTATTACCTCGAGAGTAACGAATCGATTCCAGATGAAGACAAAGTTGACAAAATTGGGTAATATTATATGTACCATTTAGTAATGAATAACACCAAGTGGTACTCACCTTCAACATAACTCAGGAATGTAACATAACTATTGGGTAAAAACTGATTACTGTGCGATGTTGAACGTGATTGCCTGGTTGCAGTTAAATTTTAACCGCATGGAGCTGAATCATCACTTTGTGGAATTTTTGTGAATCTTTACCACAATGTGCTGAAATCATTACCAACGCGGTAGAGTCATATATGCATTCCGCCTGGTAACGATCTGGTATCAATTTTTTTAAGAGTGTGCAAAAACAAAGTTAGTACATATTTGCATACTTCTATCTTTTCAAATAGAGCATAGATTGAAGTATGTAGGTATCAATTCCTTACCTTATCTTAACTTATCAAATACACAAGAGACATATTTATATGTAATGTATGAATATCTCTTGGTAATATTTTAACACTGGATTTCTAGGAGTGTATTTAAGCTCAAGTATTACTTTGAAACGCAATAATTTTCTAAATAGTCAGTGGCATCAGCAAACATGTATCATATCCACTACCTTCCCTCCCTAAAGTGGGAACTTTCCCTTTGTAAATTTCTGAAATGCATTCCTTTCGAAATCGGGATATGTCATAAAATGGGTGAAACATATTCGAAACGTTCGCCTGCAATGCGTCCTCTCCGTGGCGTACACGGCGGCACAGTTTGCACACGTATTCTTTGGAGGGTTAAGTTTGACGGGTAGTTTTCAAGGAGCCGCATTTCTCCCGTTGTACGCCATGCCAACGGTAGTGCGGTGGAATCATTCCGGAGATAAGGCACCAATTCAAGTTATCAATTCTTTCTTGAATTTCGAAAGAAAAATATTACGGGGTAAGGTGAGAGGAAGAGGAAAAGGTCACAACTATTTAGAATAAGAATAGACTAGGTGATAAATTTAAAAATGAGGCTTCCTTTCAACCATAGTCAAGTTCCCGGAAGCTAAGGGGTAATATGAACCGGGGTATCCCGCATTGCATATTTACCCACTTAAAGAGCCATTGATGTACATTTATAGGCATTGGGGTAAAATGAGACACAGTATTTATGAACTACATTCATCCTTTTTAGCATGTAAAAGCAGACCAACCAATCTTGGCTGGATTCTCGTAGGCCGTCTTAACGTGCCTCTATCCTAAGTCTTTGTTTCACCCGTTTTAACCTCTCAGGATTAGAATTGGTACCTAAAATATTCCAGATTTCCCGGATACTTCTGACTCTAACATGTTCTGCAAACTGATGCGGTTCTTCGTCCCGTTCGCTGCGGGAGCATTCGTGGTAACTACTGTGTTAAAGTTCATCCTTTTGACGTTTTCCCCGTGCACACCGCCGTTTCTCTTGTCTATCGTGGAGGACTGCGGAAGAACTGAGGTGGCCCTGGGACCCTTTGTGCTTGGTATCTTGCACGTCTTTGAATGCTGGATGGCGTGGCACATGGTCACCGCTGGGGGATGGTACACCCTCTACATCATCTTCGCAGGGATCGAGTCCATCCTCAGCTATATTTTCATCCTAGAAAAGTAAGTTCATTGTTAAGGAATGTGATTTTTCGGGCCAGATGGCAACTTGAAATTTAATATTCTGCCGAAATTAACGTCAAGTATATTTATTGATATGGATATTTGAAAGTCCACTAATTAGCGATTTGATCCGATTGGATTATCCGGCCGATCATGGGGCCAGGCCAACCCGATCAGATTTTAGCCTACCCAGCCCGATTTTATTTTACCCGATCCGATTCGATTATATTCATAGATTGGACCTGTACGTGTCAACAATCCGACCGAATCTATTTTTATCGGATCGGACCTATTTACCAAAACTAATTCTAATTAACCTTTTCTCTCCAGCTTCAGCCAAGTCCAGACCTGTCTCCAATCCGTACCCAGTACGAAGAATCATCTCCTCTTGTAACGCAATATTCAAATTTTGGAAAAGAACTTTAGCGCCCTTCTCATGGACAGGATACTACCCGCCTTGCTAATCACATCCCCCTCCTTGCAAATGGTGATGCTCTACGTGTGCATTAATCATCACGGGGACATCGCCATGCCAGGATTTCTCGTTTTCCCCCTTCTCGCCGGAGAAGCCGTCATCGTCAACATTCTCGTCTTCACGTTGGCATCTTTCGTCAATTCGGCGTCGGCCAAAGTGTTGGCGGATTTTAGCGGGAAGGTAAAAGGGTTAAGGGAGAAAGATGTCGTGGTTAGACGACAGCTCAAGTCCTGCTCCAATCTCAAGGTCAAATTCCGCGCGAACTTCATTGACCGGGGGACACCACTTACAATTCAAACTTTCTGCTTTAATCAGGTCATGTCACTCACTTTGATCCGGGAAGGTCGCATTTCGAGAGGTCGATGAATATATAAATTTTAAGTGGAAAAGGGAACGTCCAAGTGTTACATCATTAAAAAGGTGGGTGGGTGGTTGATGTGGATTAACTTAGCCGTATTTGCATATTTAGTAGTGCATTGAGTTCAACGGTGGAATAAATTTTTAATTTATATGCTGGACCACGTTGGCTGCGGTAGCATGGGGACAGAGGGACTTCTTTTTAAAAAAATTTCGTTTGTATAAAACACGATGAATTGTTTCTCCTTTTCTTGGTTTGAAATATTAAATTACCATTATTTTCAAACACAATTTGGTAAAAAAGCATCATCCTACACATTTTTCAGTCCTTGGCTCCCAATTCGTTTAGGAAATTAATAAATTAATCCGGTAGAAATTGAATATGAAAATAGTCAATGAATATAAGTGAATATTTTCATTTCGAGACTCTAAGGGACCAATTTTTAACCAAGGTCTTTTTAACAAATCACGTTTATATAATGCTGGTTTGCTTAAGACGGATGCAAATTAGGTACTTAAATATGCCGTTTGTTTGGCAACAAAGCAATTTTTTTATTTGGAAAATTTCGAAGAGTTTTGTCTTTTCTTGAAGGAACGAACTACCAATTCTGCCAGTGCAAATAAATTTGTATTACCTCGTCGAATTTTGCAATTTTATAAATCTTTATTTTGTATTCATTGTTTGATTCAATTCAGCAATTGTATTTCAAGATATTCTGTTTTGCGATCAGAAAAGTATGCAGCACTTCAACTCAGCATTACAAATACCGATTCCGGATACGATGTCGCATTCTGTTTTGCATATCGTGCCCGGAATGTTGAAGCCATTAGCTTGGCATGCTGGAAATACGGAAAGAATTTTAATTCAGTTATTTGATTTAAGTAACTTTTTTGCTTTTCAGTCCTAACTTTTGTCGAGGTAATTGAAACATTCATCTTTATCAAACTAAATAATCGAAATCTGTAAAAATTATAGAAATTTATCCATACCTATGTAACTACATAGTTTGGTTATCCTCAAATTTTGGGCCAGATTTGTACTTAATCCACATAAATACATACATATGACGCTAGAACTTTATATAATTGTGAGCGACACCAATTAATCTACCTAATCAAATATAAAATATTAGGGGAAGTTCATAAATTATGTCAAGGTGGGGGGGGGGGGCAAAAGGGCCAACATGGTAATTGTAACACGTGGCCAGGGGAGGGTCTCAAAAATCTGCATTTTCCAATGACATAATTTACGAATGTTCCCTAACAGTCTATCAAATATCCTCTAGTTACGACATTTCAGCGCCTTTGTCACATCTATTCGTTAAATATAAATCTGCTAACCAATCCGTGCCTAATTTTTATCAAAATTATAACGGATGACATGCGTTTTATTGAAGTCATAATCTGTGAATCTTTTCACGCCAATGAGGTCTACACATACTTATGTATGTACAACCAGTGTGTGCAAAAAGCAGCCTTTTTGCTTTTCTGCATGCCTTTTTGCCTTTTTCAATGCCCTTTTGCCTTTTTGCGTGCCTTTTTGATGCCTTTTTGCTCGATTTTTGACGATTGAATCCGATTTATTGTCGTCTATAACGTATTAAAGAAATTGCAGAAGATGCAATATGTTTTTAGAATTGTATTGGAGGGTTCTAACTTTCATCACTACTTCAAATTAGCTTAATACTTTTCCCCAGATATCTTTAGGGTTGTTTCTACATCGCCATGAGCTTAATTAATCAAATTTTGACTCAAAAGCTCTTATTTGCGAAAAGTATAAAGAACGCAATGAATAACTTTCACTTTAATTTTATCACGAGATTTTCGTCTCATCTTGCCCCAAATTAGCAAAAGGGCAAAAAGGCACAGATTTTTGTGGGGCAAAAAGGCAAAGAGGCAAGCAAAAAGGCAGGCAGTGCCTTTTTGCTTGCCTCTTTGCATACACTGTGTACGACCCTTATGCCTTGAAAACCCCTGCTATATAACCTTATCGTTACTTATTAAGTACTTTGAAAATTCGGTTTTATTTCTTACGCTTTCCTTCTGCTTGACACAGCACTGGGGCCAAGAGGGCTGTCAGCACTATCAGGATGAGGATAATCTTGACGGATCCCATGGTTGGAAATCTGGGCGACAAAGCAAAATTAATTAAATCATTTCCGACCAAACTATGGGGAGGAGGTGTGAGATGCTTATCCTCGATATTGACTGGAATAAGATCAAATTGTTAAATAATTACAAATGCATAAATAATTACAATTAAATAAATTATTAAATTGGTGATGAGGAAATAAACAGACCCGTGTTTCCTAAAATGAATGAATTTTAAAATAAATTTCCAGTCAAAATCAGCATCTACTAAAGCCTTGGAACTCCCCAATTTTAATCTAATTTCAAAAATTAATGAATATGGTGTAATTTGGGAAAAAATCGATAAATAGATTTTTTTAATTTTCTAAATTTTGTTAAGTAATTTTCCGAAATGCAAGTTATTTTTTGCATTTTTCAGAATTCTGTTATTCTTTGAGACCATTAAAATGTATAAATTTTTTGAAATGTACTTTAATAATTTGATTTAAATAAGTAATTCGTTCTATAACATTTTGATTTTGGCTGAAAAGTTATCCAAAAGTTCCGACACCGACGAAAACAAACGAAGTTAAGTAAACGCAAAAAAATGCGAATTTCTGTTCGTAAACCGTTTCAGTCAAAATCGGAGAAAACCACTTCGTGACTTCGCATAGTATGTGTGAACATACGGTTAAGTTTTTATGTTAAATAACTTTCAAAAATAATTTTCAAAAATATTTACAACCTCGAAATTTTGTCTGGAGAAATTTTCTCCTCGGTTTCTTTTAGAATTGAAGCTCTTCGAAATGCAAATGCTACCTCTAGTGTATGAATGGCTTCTATTTATACCGGATTTGAACAATCATTCAGTATGCACCGTATTACACAATATGTATGTTGCATCTCACCATCAACCAAAAGTCATCCGATGTTAATTTGCATCGTATTATGCACGTGATATTGCGACATATATTGCAAAATATGGACAACTTGAGGCATGATTATAAGTTATCTTGTTTACAAATCCTAGGCTAAATTTTGATATGAAAAATGCATAGTATTTAAAATAAGACTATATAAAATAAGATTATATATATATATATATATATGTACATAATTAATTACGTCTGAACATTGACTTTGACCCTGCAGAATTTGCACAAAATTATAAATAAGCTCACTACGACTCAAGTACACGTACATATGTATGTGTGTATAAGTAAAATCATGTGTAAGTATGTATATATGTGTCCGAATGGTATATAACATGAATACCTGCATAATCCAATGCTATTCATATATATTTACAGATACGGTAAGTAGAAAGCAAGATAAGTGGCAGCGATAAGTGAAGCACGCTTTTATGCTTTTGGTTCTGGCTAAAATTTAAGCAATTGGAATTGTGTGAAATGCATACATACATAAATATCTACGTTTGTAAGAAGAGCAATTATTAAATTTGTACTAAAGAAATATTCAGCATGTATATTATATTCGTGTAATCAATGGTCCACCCACGTCAAGATGTCATAGGTAGATACATATGTATGCATATGCATATATCCACTTATCTATATTCAACTATGACATATGCATGGCTAAGAATATGCAAATTACGAGATGCCGGGCATAAGGCGTGGTTGATGTCTATTTGCATATGCACACTTGATCATATACAGGGTGGTTTAAATGCCACGCTACAATGGGTAATTTTTCAATGGGAACAATTCGCAATTAGTTACCGACATTTTGTCTGTGAAATTAAAAAAATTGTCATCAGTGCTCCATCAGTTTTGGTAATAATTAATAAAAATCTCAATCCCAAATATTGTCGTGATGGAGATTTTCTCTTTGCAAAATTTTCTAGTGTAGCGTGACATTGAAACCACCCTGTATATAATCAAGTCTAGCCAGGAATATCGTACTTTACTGATAGCGAAGATATATAAAGAATGGGCTGGACTTGCTTATGCGTGTCGGTATTTATATTCATTTTCCCTACAGTTTGGGATTAGTGGATTAAATTTAGACCAACTTTAGTACCGGCTTCCAGGAATTCCAGGCAAATGCAGGGTCACCAACGAACCATGCGTGCTTCTTAACGAACGCACATTCCACATTTTACCCTTGTTTTAAATAGATTGATTTTAATTAATGAAAATTCTCTAAGGTCACTCAGAATTTACTAATCCGAGTTATCTACGTACTCAACCACGATATTGGAATGGGGTAATTTTCAGAAAGGTGACATTATTTGTAAGGGTCCATAAATCTCCTAACATCGCATATTTAAATACAATTTTAGACAAACCATGTGCGGAAACCCTGGGCAAGCGAAGGGTCATATTTCACACATTTAAAAAGGGTACCCATCCTCCTTCTCACTGTTCATTCTTTCTCTACCCAGCCACCAAAACTCACCCTTTGTAAAAATTCAAAATTTCGATAAAAAAAATTTTCAAATTTCCAAATTTTCTCGTCATGGCGACAACATCTGAATCATCGAAGTGTCCAACCACCTTTAATCTCTGCATCCACGACATTTTTCTCTTCGCATTCGCAGTACTCCCTGCACTCGTGACAATTCTGTTGTACGAGGGACCCACTGAGATCCAACTTTCGCGCGATGGCGCCACGTGGCAGGCGGCGCATTGGTCAAATTATGATATAAATTCTCCACCTCCAAGTGACTATAATGCCACCCAGGTTACAATCAGTTTGTCCCGGATAACTGCGAAATTAACACGGGCAGGAGATTTGTCCCTGAGTTTCGTGCTGGTACAACATTGGAGTGATCCCAGGTTGGTGGTTCGAAATGAGGAAAATGGTGAGTGAAATGAAATATGAATTTCAAATTTGTATGAAAAAAATCGCAAATTTATATTAAAAAATCCCATATTTATTGTATTTAAAAGATCTCAAATTTTTATGAAAAAGATCGTAAATTATCCTTACAAATGCAGACAAAATATTTATAAAAGTATAATTGAAGGCTAATTACAGAAATATAAGTTTTGACATCCCGTCCTTTACATGGTAGTAATTATATGGTAGTAATTATATGGTAGTAATTAAATTCTGAAATTGTTTCAATTTACGTATGTAATTTCAAAATTTGCAAATTTGTCGAGGGGAAAAATCATACATATTTTTTTAAATTTATTCTTAGCATAAGTCATAATTTTTTAGTCAGGTTGGATGCAAAGTGTTGTTTTTCTTGAATATTTTACAAAAATTAAGACGAAATTTTGGTTTGCATGTGTCTCATCTCAACTTTTTTACCATTAGGTCCGTCCGTGCAAAATATTGAGGCGATTAAATGGAACGGTTCTCCAATTTCAATTTGGAAACCGGCCCTTGGAACGGTGCCTGCTCACGTGGTGGATAAAAGTGGAGACGAGACTTGGCTCTGGAAGGACGGAAGGGTAAATAAGTTGAAACAGAAAATTGGTCAAAAATTTCAAACACTTATGATTTAAATTTAGTTCAGCCATTTTCTTTTAAGTTCATTTCATTTCGCTTCACCCGACTTCATTTCTTACTTTGCTCCAGGCATAGGGTGAAAAATGAAATGAGTGGGAAATCTGTTCATTCACCCTGTGAATTTCGGTTATTTATCTGAAACTAGTCTCTTAAGCCCGCAGTGCGGGCTCTAAGCAAAACGATTTTATTATTTTATTACGAAAAACGTTCACTCACGACCCCATGGGCGTGACCACGAAAAACGTTGCCACGACTCTAATTGGGTGTGTCCACGAAAAACGTTGTCACGACTGTAATTGAGTGTGACCACGAAAAACGTTTAGTCACGACTCTAAAGGGGGTGGCCACGAAAAACGTTCAGTCACAACTCTAAATGGGGGTGGCCACGAAAAACGTTCAGTCACGACTCTAAAGGGGGTGGCCACGAAAAACGTTCAGTCACGACTCTATCGGTGTGACCACGAAATTCGTTTAGTTACGACTCTAAAGGGGGTGACCACGAAAAACGTTAGGTCACGACTCTAAAAGGGGTGACCACGAAAAACGTTAGGTCACGACTCTAAAGGGGGTGGCCACGAAAAACGTTCAGTTACGACTCTAAAGGGGGTGGCCACGAAAAACGTTCAGTCACGACTCTATCGGTGTGACCACGAAATTCGTTTAGTTACGACTCTAAAGGGGGTGACCACGAAAAACGTTAGGTCACGACTCTAAAAGGGGTGACCACGAAAAACGTTAGGTCACGACTCTAAAGGGGGTGGCCACGAAAAACGTTCAGTCACGACTCTAAAGGGGGTGGCCACGAAAAACGTTCTTCAGGACTCTAAAGGGGGTGGCCACGAAAAACGTCCGGTCACGACTCTATGGGTTGACCACGAAAAACATTAGGTCACGACTCTAAAGGGGGTGGCCACGAAAAACGTTCAGTCTCGACTCTAAAGGGGGATGACCTCGAAAAACGTTAGGTCACGACTCTAAAGGGGGTGACCACGAAAAACGTTAGGTCACGACTCTAAAGGGGGTGACCTCGAAACACGTTAGGTCACGACTCTAAAGGGGGTTACCACGAAAAACGTTAGGTCACAACTCTGAAGTATGGCATTGTTCTAACGTTTTAAGTACGTTTAGGCACTTAAACCAAAAGCCCGCCCTCTAGTGCTGAAAAACAGCCAACATCCGATAGGTGGCGCTGGTAGGTAATTAAAATTAGTAAGGCACAGGTCAAGTGTCAACTTTACCGTGGGGCACAGAGGTCACAGGTCAAGTATAGTGGATGTGCCCAGGTCACAGGTGAAATGTCAAATCTAGTGGGTGTGCCCAGGTCACGGGTCAAGTGTAGCGGGTGTGCCGACGTCACAGGTCAAGTGTAATGGGTGTGCCCAGGTCACAGGTCAAGTGTCAACTTTATGGGTTGTACGCAGGTCGCAGGTCAAATGTCAAGTCCAGGGGTGTGTGCCAAGGTCACAGGTCAAATGTCAAATCTAGTGGGTGTGCCAAGGTCACAGGTCAAATGTCAAATCTAGTGGGTGTGCCAAGGTCACAGGTCAAATGTGAAGTCTGGTGGGTTTTCCCAGGTCACTGGTCAAATGTCAAGTTTAGGGGGTGTGCCCGTTCATTTGATCAAGTCTCGGCAGATCTAAAGGGTGTTTCGTTGTTATCGTGTTCGTCAACGTTTTGGACACGTTTTGACACTTTAGCGAAAAACGCCCTCTAGAAACGAAAAATGTAACATAGTGCCCCACCTGCCGCTAGGTGACATTAGCTTGGACAATGTGAGACACGTGTGTAATCAAGCGCCAAGTTCAACTGGTAACACACACCACTGCACAATTCTTGGTTCTGATAAAGGAATCCGTCAACCATTTTATTTCAAATTAAAAGAAATTCATTTTCATTCAAATAACAGGAAATTCATTTTTATTGAGTATCATAATCAGTCAAATGAATGAAAGTGAACAGTTGTGTTAATGAGTGGTTTGAGTCGTAGAATTCCATCCGCTGCCATGATTTAAACGTGGGATGAACTTTGACCTGGTCAAAGTTCTAAATCATCTATCGCCCCACCCCATATAACGGGCTTTACGCTAGTATTAATGTACAGAATTTGGAAATAATCAATGCCTAATTTCGCATTTTTCTTCTTAAACTCAGGTCCTTCGAAATCAACCCGTAACCATCGTCGTGGACCCTTGCCGACCCGTTACAGAATATTTTATTAATATTTTCTCCACCCGGGAATATTTAAATGGGATTGTCACCTTGAACTGGGACAGTCCAGATGGAAGGCATCCCCTCAGTTTTAAGGACCCCACGTTCGGAATTTCATCCATTGTGAGGGGGCAAAGGTCACAAAAATCGCGGCTCCTGTATTCGACGAGTCGATGTGAGACGACGTTCCGCCCTAATTCCGCAATTTCCTTGAAGCAAAGCTGTCTCAAGGTTGGCTTCAAGCTGGAGAAGATTCCAACCTTGTTCCCCCAGGGTCCCCTCTACTTCTTGTTTTTCATGTTGGGATTTTTATCTTGCGTGATGATATTTCTTATCATAATTTGCATATATCATTTCAAGTGATATGTATTAAGGTTGATCACACCTGTTCAAAAATATTAAAAATTCATTCAAATTAAAAATTGGAAGGAATTATTCTGTTACTTTTCATTTGTTTTTAAATCTGAAAATTAATAAATATGTATTTATTATTCACAATTTACATCTTGTTAATTTTGGCATTCAATTTATCCTAAATTCGCAACGTTGACGAAAACATTTTGAGCGTATTACTTACATAAAACCTAAGAAATGAGTAAAACTTCAAAAAGATTGAAACCCGTTAAAATAACTCGATCGTTAGGTTTTGACTAAAACGCTGGGTTTTTTCCAACCCTGCTTACTTGTTCGCCAGTGTTGTCCAAATACATATATCCAATGTTTTAAGCATAAGGAGAAAAATAACTAACAATTAAAAATTATTCATTGATTACAGGGCATGGGCCATCCTTACGTAGAAATTTTCAAACGCTCGCGCGAAAAAACTGGTACAACTTAAACAAACCCGCCCTACGCTGTTTGATAGACAAACCAATTAGATAAGTCTCTGATTTTTTTCTACTCGAAGTTCTTAAAAATGGCTCCTCCATGACCATTTTAGGTAGAGGTACACTGAAAAACTTTTCCAGACAAAATTTCACCGGAAATGTGATAAAAAAGGCTGAATTCACGTGTGCATAAAATTTCTTTGGCCTCAATGTATAGAATAATAAATATAGAAGGCGTTAGAAGACGATCCATTAATCAGGGACTGCCTCCTCCCCCTATAAACCGCCCCCTAGTAAATAGGTAGAAAAAGCCTCTAACACATACTTGAAGGATTTCACAAAAATCGATTTTCGACATCAGGTCCATTACCATAACTCATGGAGTAACCCTGAAGTAAAGGTAAGGAATAAAAATTCGGTGTTAACAAAATATACAAGTTTCGCAGATAACATTTAGTAAAGCAGGTTTGTTTTGTCTTCTTTTATTTTAAGACTAACGTATAGCCCGGCCAAGGCCGGGTTCTAGGGTTCCAGTGGGGGGTGTGCCCAAAGCAAAAAATCCGTCATACTATACGTTAAATAATTCCCAGTGGAGACTTTGTCATACCACATACATACATCAGAGTGAGGGTTTGCCCAAGTCATGCTGCATTTTAATTAATCTGGTCAAACTACAATTTTATTTCCCCCTGTGGGAGTAGTTGAATAGCTAATTACTTAAATTCCCGTCGCGTGGGAGTAACTGCATAGCTAACTATTTAAATTCCCACGCTTCACGCTCCCGTTAAGTTCCATAAACCCCGTTAACTTCTACAATTAACGCCAATTAAGCTACTGACGGATTCGGATTCAGCGTCAAAAATACATTCGAATTGATATGCGACATCACGAATAAGCCATATTTGAACCCCACGGTCACGGCAAGGTCACGGGGGCCTCGCAGGTCAAAACCATTGACGGCGTTGGATTCAGCGTCAAAAATACATTTGAATTGATATGCGACATCACGAATAAGCCATATTTGAACCCCACGGTCACGGCAAGGTCACGGGGGCCTCGCAGGTCAAAACCATTGACGGCGTTGGATTCAGCGTCAAAAATACATTCGAACTGATATGCCACTCGCTGTGGGTGGAGTTTCTCAAACTAAAATAATTAATTAATAGTGTTTATCAAGATCACTTATCATGATAACCACTATTGATGAGTGACGTATGTATGTATATATACTGCTCACTCACTCAATTTACTTGCACACTGTGTTTATATACAAAGGCATTTAATTTGAGTTTGATGGCATGTGTACGTACGTGAAAGTCACGTGCAGGCCAAGTTCAGACTCATGCAGTAGGGAGCAGCATTTTCATGCATGCAATTCACTCCGCGTCCTTCTTTGTCTTCTCTACGGGGTAACTTGGACTCGATCACAGAGTCAGGCAGGCAGGGAATACGCTGGCATTTTATGAGTAGTGATTTCAACATTGATTGATTGATTGATTGATTAAGCTTTATTCAAGTGTCTACCAAGTTCACAGTAACAAACCATGCTCTTCCACAAGTGACACATAAAATATAAACAAATATGTAACTAACTAAAACATTCAAAATCTACTATACATTTCTTATCCATTCACCATATCAAACCATACAAATTGTATGTAAAATCAACACAGGAATCCAAATTGTAACCTTAAAATCGATTAATTATGAAGGGAATAATATCTAACCTATTCCATAATCTTCAAATGTGTTCATAAATAAGTCATATTTTTTGCTAAAAAGTTTAATTGTAGAGTACATTTCATCATACTGGTTTCGTAAAGGAATCAACCTTCTTGCTAGTTTAAGGTATTTGTTCGGTTTAACAGTTTTTGGTTTACATTCAAAATCAGGAATACAATTAGGACACGCCCAGATTTTAGAAAGAAAACAGTTAAAAAACGACTGGGCCGACATAGACAAATTGCACCTGTTTTTGTGGAAATAATTAAAACAATAAACACATTGAAGCAATCCGTCCTTCCGACAAAAATCTTCAATTAAATCATCTTGGAACATAATATATATAATAGAGTCTTTGTACGTAATAGGGTTGGTATAATCATATACATCTTCACCACAAAGGTGGCACTCTGGTCCCATAAGTCGCTCGTCGTCCCATATTTGACCTTCCAGTAGATTATGCAGCTCCCTGTATTTATCATCCCCTCTACTACCAGAGAGGACCACTGAATTGGTTATCGGATGTGCCAGCTTCACTACATCCTCGACATGCATCGGATCCATTTTTTGTGTTTGAATTCTTATTCGAATCCGTTGATGTTGTTCAGAATTCTGTTCCTTTCCAGCACCGTTGTTGAAATTACTGGACAGAATTTATCAATTAATAGTTGGCCATAGAAATTTAAAAACTGGAACAATAGACCTGTTGAGGATCGAGACTTGTATAGCGCCGTCGGTCAGAGCGCTCTTGTTCAAGGGCAAATTAAACCGCTTTGCCCACAGCGCATATGTTGAAAATTCTTCCAAAACGGATGTGGAGAGCGGCGAGACAACGTTGTGGTAGGGGACAGGAACCATAAAGAAACTTTGCAGTATATGAGTGCCCCCCGAGTCTCCTTTCCAATGAAAGAGGAGCTGACTGAAGTAAGCACGAACAAGAACTTGGAAAAGTCTATTCAGACAACTCAGGGGAGGCCGGCTGACGTCAAATCACAATGTCGCACAAAAAGGTCACCCGAGGTCCAGGTTTCAAAACTCATCTACCACTGACTAACGGAGTCCAAGAGTATGACAATGCCACAAACCCGACGATTGGGAGTGGTCAATAACTCACAAAAAATTAAAAAGAAAAATAATAATCGCGAGAGAGACAAACCTGCTGTTCTCTCCTCTCTCTCTCGTGTGTTGTGGATAAAAGTGTATTTAAGTAATGTGATGTTGTGTTGTGGAACATGACAGAGAAGATGTGTCCCCTTGTCGCAAGCATGAATATGACTGACCGGGTTGAAAATACGGAGATGGGAAAGGCGCTCATGAATCCTTTGGTACCTCCAAATTATTTAATTTTCACAAATTAATAGCTTGCTCAGAGAACGTCTCCAAATTATGTCACGTGAGGGGGGGGGGGGTCCAAGGCTACAATCATATCGTGCATGTGTGACACAAGTTAAAGCGGGTAGTGGTGTATAGAAAGTAACGATGCTTGCGTGACAAAATTTATTGATGGTCACTCTCCTTAATTTTACAATGGAAAACTGAAAACGCATTGCACATACGTAGTATTTTCAAAATGTAAGTACATTCTTATCGTGTTAGATTTTGGAGAAAATATTCTCCCATTTGGATTTCACCACTTTGAAGAACTCTGTCCGACCAGTTTGTACCGTTTGGGCTGATGTATCCGCCACCTTTCTCGGACGGAAGGGTCACCTCGACTTTTCCGACGTGAAGAGCATGACCTACTTCAATCCCAAACTGGCAAGGAATGTTACTTTATTGTATTCAAAACACGACTAGGAAATCGACCTGAAGCCCGCTGCTGGTTTGCCCGAAATTTCAAAATATTTGACTCAACTTCACCTATGCAACAAACATAAGTGTGGACTCGAACAGGATGAATCTTCGAGCACGACCAACTTCCGGAACCGATTGCCCATTTTGATTGAGAGTTGGGGGAACGAGGGGGCACTCAAAGCACCAAAATTTCATCCACTCCCCAACCTGAAAGTGGTTAGCTTTAAATTAATCGGCGATAAATGGAAAAATAATCATCTGTCCGTCGGCCCTCGGGCTATTCTACAAGAGCTACTAAATTCTGCCCCCAAACTAGAAGAGCTCATCATAACCGTAAACAATGCAAATCCGGATTTGGAATTATCCAGTACAAAGTTGAAGACTTTGAAGTATAACGTGACGTTCAATTCTAAAGGATTTTTTAATTTGCCAAATTCCGTACTTTCCCAAATACTGGAACGATTTGCAAATTCTTTAGAAATGCTTGAATTAGCCTGTGCGGACCTTGCAATTCAACCTATGTAAGTCAAGGTGTATTCAGGTAGGTTGTCTATTATTTATTCCATAATTAGAAATAAGAAATTTGTATTTATCTTAGATTTTGAACTTTTCCGCCCCCAACCTTACCCACCTTACGATCCATTCTGTTCAACATTTTAACATGGAAAGCTTTCTGGACTCTACCCACCTACCAAAACTGACCCATTTATCGCTACGAGGGCGCTACGTACAGGAAGTTTTTAAAATTTGCCAGCGTCCCCACGAAGGGATAATATCGCTCGAGCTGAGTTTCCGCGCCTGTTATGGCCAGCTGGATGTACAAGCTGCCAGCAACAACCTCTTCCCATCCGTTACCGAGTTGAGGTTGAAGATTAACAGCACTGATTTTCCCAAAATATCGAAATGTATGGGGGAAACGATGGGATCCTTTGGTGCTTGGGCCTTAACAAAGGGAGAAGTCATTATTTCAGGCGGATCTGTTGGTGTCGCCCAGGCCGTGTTGGAAGGGGTGAAGGATTGGCGAGGTAAGGATTTGTTCAGTAAAAATTAGTGACGGGTTCCCTTATTTCGTGATTCATAATGTTCCTTCGTATCTACATATTTTGTGACAGGTTTGAAAAACACGTCAATTCGGTTTAATGAGTCAAGAAACTTTGAACTTACTGACGGCGTAAGGGCGGCCCTCGTGTAGTGCATGTCGATTCAACATATATATTTGTCCGGGTCGTTGGTACGTGTATACATGCATATGTTGTATGGTTAATGAACAAGGTATGTAATGACCTTCATAGATATGAATATTATTAATTTAGAAGGATGAAGAGACTAGATGCAATTTAAACGAATTAGTTGCACAGTGGAATTTGTCAATGACAATCGACGCTAACTAAGGTAGGACACAAGCTGGAGAAGATTTCAGCCTCCTTCGCTAAAGAATTGATGGCGTTGTTTTAAAAGATTTGTTAATGGTTCGGTATAATGATGTGTTTCATAATAAGTTGTGTATTTAAGTAATGTTTGGGTCATACTGGTTGAAAATATTTCCAAATTTCATTCAATTTAAGAACAAAATTGAGAAAACATTTCTTTTATTCGAAATTTTTTAATAAATATTTGTTGTTATAACTTGACCATTGTTAGGCCAAGTTATAACAAATATGAAATTATCAAAAGTGCATGCATGCAATTGGGCACGCAATGCCAAAATGCTCATATGAGAATCAGAGCTTCTACAATGTTTGAGATTGACTAAACATGGGATTGTTTAAAGTGTAAGCATGTATGCAATGGCAAAATGTTCATATGAGAATGGGAGTTTTAGCGACACTTGAGTGAACGAGATCGTCTAAACATGGGATTGTTTTTAACTCTAGTTGTTATACACTGCCAAAATGTTCAGATTAATATGATCGTGCTTGTGACAACCCAGTGAACAGACTGGAAATACCGACCACATGGTTAAAAAGTTAATTTATTAATTAATTAACTAATTCAAAACAGTTTAAATGAAAAATTGTTAGCAAGTTGGAAGTGATATATGTGAAGTGATGAACAATGCCAAAAACGCGTTATTGTCCAGTCGAACCGAATCCCTTATCACCGCGCGGCTCGCGGGATAAGAACTCACTTCTTTGAACGCCGTGTTCTTCGTCTTTCTTAGTTCCTTCAACGTATCGCACTGGTCCGTGGTACATTGGGATTACTGCAAGCTGCCCGAGGCGTGACGCCGCTTTGTAAGCGAAGTTTTCGCTCGAGTTGTTGTGCAAGATAATCTTCATCGTCCCAGTATAATCATGGTCGATTATGCCACCTTAAATAAATTTTATAAATTTGTAATTATTCAATTTGTAACAGTAATGTAATAATGAGCAACAAACCTGCTGTGGATATCATTGTTGCTGCGGCCAATCCTGACCTCCCCTTAATCAAACCAAAGTGGTTGAGGGGCAGTATAACTTGGATCCCCGTCTCCACCACACCAACACCGCCACCACTGATTTCGCCAGAGTTTTGAGAAAATAGGTCATATGCTGCTGATCCAGGCGTAGCCTTCCTCGGAAACATTGCCCGTCTATGACGACGAACAAAGATAAGTCCGTCAACTGTGTGAGAAATTAATAGACAACAATTTTAGTTAATTAATGAAGTATTGGAATTTATTTATTTTCAGAATTGATCCGGTGCTAATTTGAAGGTAAGTATTGAGAGGATTTATGGAGCAATAACTAATAATCTAGTATTTGTAACCAAAATTTGAATTTTAAAACTTTTAGTGAGCTTAACATCAAATAAAGCTCTAAGCGTCCGGTTTTGCCGGGAGCATGCTACCAACGTCGTTGCGCATTTCTTCTAACGCTTTTACTAATGACCAATATGATCGACCAGAATATTTGCGCCCACATTTTGATTTTTGCGTAAAGATAAATATGTTTTTGAGTTGTTATGCCATGTTTGGAGTCGGAGGTAGTATTCGCCTCCTAAAAACCCCTCCCACCAAATTGAATTTTGCGAATCTTTCTTCTCTTCGTAGGACGAGAAGTTTTTCTTAATTGTACCTGGCTGTTCACCTGCTCCTCCGCCGCTGAAGTGAGGTTGGGGATCCTTCTTGGATGTCTTCCGCTTAGCGTCCTTCACGGCCGACTTGACTTGGTCCTTCACGATCCTCTTCGCAGGCTTCTTATCGTCGTCGCCTGAAAGTGAGCAATTAATTTAGTTAATGTTTTGCATTGAGTATTTGAAAATAATCGAATTATATAAAATATTAATCTACGTCTCGAATGTGTTAATATTTAAAATTAATAAATAAAAAAATATTACCAGCTTTTCGCTTAGTTCCAGATCCCGATCCCTGCCTAGGTCCTTCGTTAGACTTTTTCATGGGCTTCTTTTCCGCATCCTTAACTTCTTCTCATCTACCTGTAAATAAGAGCTTGAGCGTAATGTAAATTTACAAATTAAAAAATAAAATAAATGAGTAAAATAAAATGATAAATCTTACGGTCGCTATCCTTATGTTTCTTCTCGGCTTCCTTTCTGCCCTTGTGGGTCTTCTTGTTCTTGGCGTCTCATCTCGGGGATCGGTCCGATTCCGAGTCGTCCGACCAAATTGCTTTCTTGCTCCTAGGCCTTTTACCCTCATCGCTGCTGCCCGACGAACTGCGATGACTTGACCGTGAAGAACTACTATCGCTGGAACTGCGGCTCGTGCTGCGAGTGGCGCTGCGGCTTCTGCGATTATCGTTTTCTGAAATAGAAATTAAATTGTAGATTCAAATAATTTTTTCTGTTTTCTTTGCTTTTGAAGCAATTTGCTTAAGAATATTTCTGAATAAAATTTCTGAAAGAAAAAAAAAAAAAACTTACTTTTTGGCATGATGAAAAATTTTCTTCTTGTTCACAATTCAAAGTTAACTCCTCGAAATTATTTCTTTGACTAATACGACTAAATGGAGATCGTCGTCTTTTAAATCGTGATTTAATCTCAAAATTGAACATGATGACGGCAGTAAACAAGAATATAAAATAATACGATAACAAGTGAATACTTGCTTGTTAATGGAGTGATCTAATTAATTACTTTGTTGTGACTATGCGTATTATCTTCTTTGTTTGAGTTATTTTCTTTGTAACAAGAGGTATTTAGTAGATTGTTATTAAATTATTTTTTATTTATTTTTAATACTTCTTTCTGTGTACTTGATCTTTGACATTTTAGTCGTCATGATGTCACTTCAGTAGTATAAATATGAGAACCGAATTATTTTTAAATTCCATTTGGTATTTGATTATACACCCGATATCAACACGCCAAATTGTCACAAATAATTTAAGCTATCAACTCACAAAAGTATGATACACATACGTAAATTATGTCAGCTGATGACATAATTACTTAATTTAATTGAGATGATGATGATATAATAATTATAATAAACTTTCTTATTATTTAGACGCAAATCTCGGAATTTTGTCGTATTGTCGCTGCTGCTGCTGCTGCTGCTGCTGCTGCTACTACTCGCGGCTGGTGATGCTCGAAGGAATGAAACAATCTATGTGAGTACGACCACCACATTTATGTATAATGACAATTTAATAATTAAATACTGTAGCAGACTGGAGAACGAGCGGATTCTTTTATAAGCGGAGGAATATATGCGTTTTCACTTCTCTCATATCAATGTGCGTCCTTGCGAATTTATGATTTATTCAATATTTAATCTTTCTTATCCTCATTTCGTGTCATAATTTTTATAGATGAATTCATGGAAATCTTGTACGAGATGCATCCCATGTGGACTTCAATTCGCCTCAGCAAGGCGGTTCGAAAAACACGTTGCGAATCACAGAAGGCCTTTTAGATTATATGTATGCAAGTTATGTAATTTAGAATTCACTCAAGACAAAGGGTACGATATTCATATAAATTCACATAGATGTCCGCATTGCATGTATGAGGACAGCGATATTTTTGCTGTAAATAATCATATTTTGACGCACATAAAATCTTCTACGACGGCAGCAAGCAGTCGACAGACGAGATCGAGAAAGCGACAAAACGACGCATACCCTTTTAAAGAGAGCTGCATTTAAGGGATATGTCAGAACATATCGACATAGAAATAAGAAGAAAAATGCTCCGTATGGCATTATTAAACAATGCTTAAATGACTACAAATCCGTAAAAATTCAAATAACCCTGAAATGTAAATTTATTAGAGACACCCCGTTTTGCGACAAAGAAGAAGAGGAATATTGTACACAATTTATAAATTCGAATATGAAAGTTGTATTGAACAAATTTTATCTGACTGACGTTTTAAACGAGATTGACACGAATTTTCAACACCAAATTGAAATATTCGAGAAATATGGTTCGGGATGGAACTTATGCGAAATTCTAGGAAGCGATATTCGGGTTGCCGAGTTCGAGATTTTGCGAGGTGGTTGCTTTGTATCGGTCCCTGAAGAGTTGGCTGGAAAGAAAGCAATTATCAATCCGCAAATGCAGGGAAACAAATGCTTTCAATGGGCTTTTCTGATTGGCATGCATATTAACGATATAAAGTCACTTCATAGAGCAAGGATCAGACAGTACGAAAAATTTGTAAATAATTATGATTGGAAATGCATTGAGTTTCCTACAACACAGCAGAATATCAAAACATTTGAAAGTCGAAACGCTGAGAAGATGTTCGCTGTAAATGTATTCGGGTTCGATGATCGAGGGAAGCTAAATATTAAATACCAAAGTATGCACATCCGAGATTAAAAACGGAAAATTGTTAACCTACTTTACGTTCAAACCTGTGCAAATAATCCAGGACATTTTATGTACATAAATGGAATTGAAAAACTTTACGGTTCTAAAAATCATCATAAGCGATTACTGTGTTATAATTGCCTTGCTCTATTTCCAAGTCAAGCTCGCTTAAATAAACACGAAGAACTTTGTTTTTGTTTCAAGAAGCAACGCGTTTGCATGCCAGATCCCTATGATTTACGCGAGGAGCCTGTTTGTCGATTTAAAAAGTTTGAAAATAAGTTAAAATCTAGGTTTGTCATTTATTCGGATTTTGAGGCTCTCCGTATGAAAGTAAAGCGAAGAAAAGGAAAAATACGGCAGTACGCTAAACATGTTCCGAGCGGTTATTGTTTTGTAGTTGTCTCAAACGATGAAGTGATTTATAAATCGTTATATCGTGGAAAGGATTGCATGGAAATATTCGTAAAAGAGCTTGATGAAATTTGCGATCAACTAAATAGTTTGAATTTAAACAAGGTGCCCATGAGAAATCTTACATTAGAAGAGCAAACATTGTATGAAGAGAGTAATATTTGTCACATTTGTGAAAATGTTCTCCAGGAGGATAAAGTAAGGGACCATTCACATGAAACTGGACGCTTTAGGGGGCAGCGCATCGTCAATGTAATGCCAAATACCGTCAAAAAGATAGAATACCGGTTTTAATGCACAATTTTAGCTATGATTCGCACTTACTGCTTAGTTACGTCAGAAAACTGTCTGCGAAAGAAGTGAAAGTGATTCCGTCTAATTCTGAAAAGTATATGGCGTTGCTCTGTGAGAATTACGTTTTTCTGGATTCGTTTCTCTTCCTCACAGCCTCGCTGGATACTCTGACGAATGACTTGTTGTTGGGAAATAATTTTGAGCAAGACTTCAAACCATTAATACAGATTTTCGGACAGGGTGCGGCTAAAGAGATGTCCAGAAAATGAATTTATATGTATGAATATATGGATAAGTGGAAAAAGTTTGATCAAAAAAAGTTTCCCAAAAAATCCGACTTTTACAATTCATTGGCAAGTTCGGGCGTTTCAGATGTTGATTACAAGTACGGTAAACATATTTTCAAATCATATTGCTCGGATTTAGGGGATTATCATGATCTCTATTTAATGACCGACACTTTGTTGTTGGCTTCTGTTTTCGAGAAATTTCGTGAGGTTGCCTTGACACATTATAAACTAGATCCTGTTCACTATTATTCGCTAGCAGGGTATTCATGGGATGCTGCATTATTAAATACGAAACAGGTTTTAGATTTGTTTATCGATTCTGCCATGTATAATACTATAGAATTAGGACTCCGCGGTGGTGTTTCAATGATTTCGACGCGATATGCTTCGGCGAGGAATAAGTATATACGAAAAAGCGGAAAAATAAAAGATGGAGACAATTATCTTTTTTACATTGACAAGAACAATTTGTACGGGGAAGCTCTTCTTCAGCATTTACCCACAGGAGATTTTGAATGGGAAGACGCAGAGTTCGTTCAGAATTTGACAACGGAAGAAATTTTAAAATGGGGCGATGAAGATAATATCGGTCGAATTTTAGTTGTGGACCTAGGGTACGGGTCGGCATTGCACCCCAAACATTCAGAGTACCCGCTTGCCCCCGAGAAAATTTGTGTAAACAGTAAGCTACTTTCTTCGTATCAGACAGACCTTATTTCGCATTATAATATGACTTATTCTGAGAAGCAACCTAAGCTCGTACAGCATTTGGGCCCTCGTAAAAGGTACGCTGTGCATTATAGGAATTTAAAATATTATTTAAAGAAAGGAATGACTTTAGAAAAAGTACACAGTGTAATTAAGTTCAGTCAATCTGCATGGTTGAAAAATTATGTCTTATTTAACGGTTCTTTGCGTCAACAAGCACGAACCATTTTTGAACAAAATATGTTCAAATTTATTGTAAACAGCATTTTCGGGAAATCCGCAGAACAAGTACGAAATCGAGAAGATGTTAGAATTGTGAGTAACCTAGAGCAGATGAAGAAGTTGACTAGACATTCGAATTTCAAAAATTATCAAATTTTAAGTCCTGACCTCGTCATAACTTTTCTTGACCGCGCAGTGGTGAAATTTAATAAGCCGTTGTATATTGCCTTCACGGTACTCGACTTAAGTAAACTCTTTATGTATGAGTGGCACTATGATGAAATTGGCGAGTGGTTCGGGGAAACAGCGAAATCCTTGTTTACAGATACTGATTCATTAGCATATTCAATAACCACTGAAGATTTGTACGAGGACTTGGCTGAGCACGCTGACGAGTTTGATTTTAGTAATTATGACCAATCACACTTCTTTATTCGAACGTCAACAAGAAAGTTATAGGGAAGATGACAGATGGAGCAAAAGGAAATGTTCTAGAGAGTTTCGTAGGTGTTGCGCCGAAGATGTATTCCTTTCTTGGAAAAGGTATAAGAAAGAAAGCAATGAAAGGTGTCAAGAAACAAATAGTTGATAAGTACATTAATCATAAACGATTTAAATCAGTGCTATTCAAACAAAAGAAATTGGTATGCAGAATGAATCTGATTCGTTCACGGCATCACAAACTCTATTCTGGAAACTTTTCGAAAGTTGCACTCCATTGCTTTGATTCAAAGAGATACATTTTAGCTGATGGGATTAATACCATAGCCCATCATGATTGTCGCATCGTTGCGTAAACCGTTTACATCGGTTAGAATTTATGTTAAGTGTACATGTGAAATAATAAAATTAAGAGTTGTAAATTGCATGAAGTAAACGAAAATGGTTATATTTCATTTTAAATATATTAGTTTTATATTTGTACAAACATGTAAGTCGAGTCTATGCAATAAATATTTTCAAAAGAAATTTGATCCTTTTGCGACAAAGTGGACAATAATCTTGTGTACACACGCAGTCTAAACACATACTTAAATGGGCACCAGGCAGAACCACGAATCTCGCTTCAGATGCATCACAAATTTTGCAGATAGGATCAACCATTACGGTAGCCAGAATTGGAGTTCCAGCAGCTGCAGCTGAAAGGTAATCATTATAATATTTGCATCGTCTGATTTTTTCTATAGCGAAACTAACAAAATTTTTACCATTTTCAGAATGAGGTTCTTCAGAGGCGGTATCAACAGAAAAATTTTTCTATAGAAATAAAACAAAGCTTGTAATTCTAATATTACTAATACAAATTTGACTTGAAATTTTTTTTGATAAAATTACCTTCTGATTGGCTTTGGCTTTGTTAACCAATAAATATGTACACTTATTCGAAAAAAGAGCGTGTTCAATCCAAGGATTATCTTCTGGCAACCAATTGTGCGCGCCGACCCCACAGAAATAACAAATAACTTTATCTGATTCGCCGGAATAATAAAATCCACATTCGGCCAGCGTATGGGGTGTTTGCGCCTTATTGGTCGGCCATCCTTCGTACGATTGAAGCCGTTTTTGGAAAGTGCTCATGTCCTTATTAAACATGTTGAAAGGTTTATAAGTTAGGTGCTCCGAAACTTGTGCTTGCATTTTGATTTCGGCGTCGTTTTCTTTTAGCACCCGAATCTACATTACGCATCGGCGTAGGTCCATGTGTATCCCTCGATGAACGAGCTGAGTCTGAGTTAGAATTTAAGTTGTCTTTACTTGATATAGGTTTCCATTTTTTAAAGCCTCCCATCCTAGAAGCGCTATCGGTTTGATTAGAACGAATTCTGATTCCTTCCAGTGGACCCATTAAGTCTTGCTTAACATCCTTGGACAACATTGTCGTTGGAACGTTTACCATCTTACAAACTGTTAACATACGATTAATACCTGCAGGATTATGACTCCACTTCAATTCTCGTGTTACGTAATTTACCAAATCAATTATGTTGGTTTCCGGGGCAAATTCTGTTCCAAAAAAAGTTACCCTTCCATTTGTGTCCCATTTGATAAGATCGGGCCTTGATTTCAGCATGGTCATGAGAGGAATAAGCTTCGTAGCTTTGACGTTTGCGGGCTCATTTCTGAGTAAGATAATATCGTAAAAATTTAAAGGAGAACTTTGAGGAACTTCATTAAGTGTATCTGGATCCCACGCCGTCGCTGAA